CGTTGTACGTTGCCAGGTCGAGTCGTCTAAGGTGGCAACCGAACCTCCACCGGAGATTCTTAGCACCCCCTGCCCCGCCGTTACCATGGTCGCCACCGTAGCCAGGAATAGCGGGACCGCCGGGGACTGGGGGCCGTTTCTTTGTTACTGTCATTCATAGGGGGGTATTTGCCATAGTTGCCACGCTTGGCGAGCGGGTTGGCAACCGCAGTTTTTTTATTGTAATTTATCTATTATCAGGAAGATGCTGCTGCCCATCTCCTGCCTGTTTCCCTTTGTCGCCTTTTACGACACCCACGGGAGGATATGGGGTAGTGGATATTCTTGACCGCCACTACACGGCATATATATATATATATATATATATATATATATATATATATATGCCGTATATATATACATATATATATATATATATATATATATATATATATATATAAAACATCTGTGAAATATTTACTAACGAATACCGTTACAATATTTAGTTACCAGGTAGGGAGTTATTTTATTAAAATGTTGTACCTACAAACAATTAAAAGTTTTTCACAGAGAGTTGGTAAATTCGAATAAAATTACAACACGTATAATAACACAAATTCACAGCATTCACGGGTTCACGGGCCGAAAATTTTAGAAATCACGCGCGTCGGCATCACGAACTCACTTTAAGGCTGCACTTTAATTTTTTTTATAACACGCTTTTCTTTGGCAGGCAACCGTGACATATCCAAAACCGCTTCCTTTGTACCAAATCGGTGTATCGGCAAAGCACGAACAACCGACAAATTCACTGATTTATTTCAAAAATTATGAAAATAAGGTTCATAATTGTGTGAAAATATTTTATGCATTTTTCTACCTGAATAGTTGGCAAAGGTTGGGGTTAACTTTTTCGCTGGATTTCTGGGAGCACTTCTTAAGATTTTGAAATAAACCTTAGTTAAATTAACAAGAGTTTTGTATACCAACTATTTGGTTGTGTAAAGATACACGCATTTATAGAGTTCCGTACCTCAAAAAAAAAAAAACGGACTTATAGAATAACTTTGTTGCGTTTAGACGACATTGAGATTACTATATTCTTTTGGCCACGCAAAAAAGGGTAAAAAATTAACTTTTATTAAAAAGAAAAAACCTTTAAATAACTAAAATTCCTATCTATGTCTTTGCACCAACTTCAGTTAATGTCAGTTTCAGTCAATATAAAGTTAAGAAAATTGAGAAAAATGAGAGAAATTGCGTCTCCTGACATATGTATTTTTTCCATCATAATAAGTAAAGTAAGCATATAGTAAGTATAACAAACTGAATTGATATTTACCTTCTTCTAATGGTAGTCCGTAAGAATTGGGACATGCCATTTATTATTTTATTAAAAAATAAAAAACCCAACACCATTCATATAAGATACATTTCCTTATTTCATCATCATCATCATTACAGCCCTTCACAAGTCCACTGCTGAACATAGGCCTCCCCCAAAGAATGCCACAAAGCACGGTCCTGAGCCACCTGCATCCATCGACTTCCTGCATGTCTTACCAGGTCGTCACTCCATCTCGTGGGGGGACGCCCTACACTTCGCCTACCGGTACGAGGCTGCCACTCGAGAACCTTTCTTCCCCATCGGTTGTCGGTTCTTCGAGCTATATGGCCGGCCCACTGCCACTTCAGGTTCACTTCCTTATTTACACATATATAATTCGCAAATAGGCGTAAAGTAAAGTAAGACAACGTAACAATATTTACCAATTACCATCCAAAGTGGACTTCGCCCCAATAGAAAAAAAATTCACTTTGTCGGCGGATTGGCGTTCGCATAATAACTATAAATTGTAATTAATATTTTAAGTTTGAGGATTGATAAACATAATTTTTACGGACATGGCTATTCTGCAATAAACCAACAGATTATTATTGAATTATATACATTTAATGTAGGTAACATAATATAAACATATATATTATATTTAGTAGTTAGAAAGTTGTAATTTTAAAATATACTTAGTTTGTGTTCAAAAGCTGTTTGAATTGCGGCGTATTAAAAATTATTTGTTGTGTGAATGCAGTCAGCGATCAGCTTGTATTGCCAGGCTGTATTGCTGTTAACTTTACTTGTACTAGTTCAACCACGAATACTGCTAAACTGGTCTGTGGTTCAACCAGTTATGTAATGTTACTGTTGTAACATCATGAAATGGAACAAATATTAAGGTTGATAACTTCTGTCGTTCTTTATTCTTTTATTCGATTTCATATTATTATATTAGAATAGAAAAAGATAAATCTGCGTAGGTATTTTTAATAGAATGCTACAATTGTGTGGTTTTATATTTTTGTGCTCGTAAATGACTATACTTTATATTTTTGTACTTTTACTGTCGAATTGTCATATACATTAGAACTGTTTATAGTCTAAACGTATTATAGACGTGCCTTTCAAATAAAGCTTGATTACCATTCTGCACTTTACTAACTATTTTTATATATATCTTAGTAAATATATAAAATTTCATAAGACAGAAGTACAAACAACATATATTACGTAAAACGATAACCTAGTTACACATATAATATACGTTTATTACCTACCAAGTGTACTAAGCACTTTTATACATTTATAAGAAGTGATGAATAATACACCAAGATATTATAAGACAAAATATACTTAGCATCGGGGCCTGATTTACTCACAGGCTTACTAGGTTGGAGCCTAGAGCGCAAGGTTCGAAGGGACGCAAAGTTCGAGGGGGCGCTGAGCTTGCATTTGTAAGCACTATTTATGTATATAATAAAATTTCGTGGGCGACGGTCGACACCTACTATCAGGAAAAATATAAAAATATTTTTTTGGAATTAGAAAAAAAAATGGCAAGAAATGTACGATATTAGAAGGCCTTACTTTATTCTCTCATAATTTAGCTGATAAAAGTGGTATGTGTTATGTGTGGTACATAACACATGACAAATTTTTGTGGGCATGCAGTACAGATGATGTATGAACGCATCTGAGATGAAAGCTAATCTTCTGATGGTAGTCTACGATCAAAGAGTATCTATAATATAGTCACTATCTCCGATTATGAATCTGTCATTAAAAATGCACACATTTTATTTTACTGTCGATATTCGTTAAATTACTTCTATTTAATTACAAGAGATTTCTACTCGTATCACCTAATATAGCTTGGCATATACTTTCTTAATTTGCATACTTGTCACAACTTATCGCTTGTACATGCTCTCTGTTCATAGTAGAGTACTAATATAGCTACTTCATTTGTTTTTTTTTTTTGATTAAAGGAGTGATACATAATTTTAAATAAATAGTTTCGGATGGGCAAAGGCGTTTTACTTTATGTAAGCATGCAACAACTACAAATGTTTTCAAGTAGATTGCAGATTCGTAAAAATAAATTGTCTAATTAGGATAATTACAATCTAAATCGTGTTTTAACTTGTGACGCGTCGTCTAAGTGCCCTACTGAGGGCTACTACTGAGTGATTAACGCGTTCCATCTATAGATAATTATCACTCATTATTATAATAATTAGTCACAACTACTCGTTAGTCTGAGTCTGTATCATTTCACCTTTTTTAAATCTTTATATATAAAAATTACGTGTCACATTGTTTGTCTGCGATGAACTCTTAAACTACTAAACTGATTGCAATGAAATTTTGCACACTGTGTGCAGTTTGGTCCAACTTGAGAGATAGGATATTTTTTATCCCTATAAGTGACCCTCAACATTTTTTTATTACGAATTTTAGAATTTTTATAGGACACAGGGTCACCGGAGAGGGCAGAACAACGTCTGCCTACCGAGCTAGGATATTATATACTGGTTACTAGGCACTGTGCTGAATATTTTATTTTGTGATAGGTAAAGAATATGGTAAATCTTCTCTACATTGGGCATTGGGAGTGGTTCATATCTAGCAGTTGACTTTTAGGGGCTGATGGAAAAAAGTCTTGGCCTTTCCAAAGTATAAAAATAATGCGAATGCTATTCTTTGTCGTTGGTCTGGCTATTTTATGTTTGATAATTTGTCGATGGATGTTCCGTCATCTGTCAGTATTGCCGCCAAACTAATAACATCCGTTATTGTGTTCTGGAGCCGGTAAAATTACAGGTTGTTCGCATTTCATCTTACGCCTCAGGGCGACAATGCATTAGACTTAGAGATGGGCAAATGCCCGGGCATTTTAGGCAAATTGGGAAAATTCCTAATAAGCGCCGATAAATTTCTGTCCTTGGGCATTTATCTGGGCATAAATTTTTGTACCAAAATTGATTTACAAGATTTATGTTAGCATTGAAAGCTGGTCTAACTTGTTGAGTTTAGTTAAGATTAATTATTTAAAGGTGTTATTTTATGAATTTGCATACGTTTTTTTTTAAATATGTTTATTTTACAAAACCATGTTTACGACATAAATGTTACGAATTACGCCGCAGCGGGAAGAAATACTTGTACCGAGTGAGTGAGTGAGACGTGCGGGACGAGGGATGCGTCCAGGCAACACACCGCGCCGCCATTTTGTTGTTAGTCGTCCTGTGTCAGTTGCAGTTACCGCACGTGCATTCTATTTGTGTCCATTGTTTGTTGTATTCTAGTTCCGGTTAACCAATTTATGCATTTATTAGTATTAAGTGTGTGATAATTTACTGCTTGCTACTTGTAAGGTAAGTCTTTCTTTTTTTTTGTGTATCAATCAGATATTCTTATTAAAAGTAATAAATGGTTAATACCCTCTGCATATTTTTGATATACAACAAGAAATAAGAAATCTTGTAAAAATGGTTGTAAAATAAGTTACAAATTAACTTACTTATTACTAAAGTGCTTGCTGTATGAAAAATATTTCTTGTTTTAGCGCCATGGGAAGATCAAAAAATCATACTATATGGAGGCACTTGATGATCAATTAACAGACAATTCCGTAAAGTGCTCTTTTTGCGAAAAGCTTTATAAAAAGGGGCATGTAATAAAAATGCAGCAACATCTTCTGACCTGCTTTAAATGCCCACAAGCCGTAAAAAAACAAATTAACGATGTCAATAAGTCACAATCCAACTTAACACCAGAATCCACAACCACTTCATTGAACACGGAGAACACATCGACCGAGAATATTAGAAATTTAAGAGAAGAGTTTGCGAAGGCTCTATTAATCACGGGAACACCTCTAGCAATGGTAGAACACCCATTGTGGGTAAACTTTTTTGAAAAATTAAATTTTAAATTGCCTAATAGAAAGTCTATTGCAACTAAATATCTAGAAAAAATATATAAAGAGATGAATAAAGAAATCAGTGATGATTTAAAAGCATCAAATTTTCTACACTTGCAATGCGACGGCTGGACTGATGTTTGCAATGAAGGCATTATAAATTTTTTAATATCCAAGCCAGAACCTGTTTTTATAAAAAGTCTGAACACACTTGATAATCGGCACACAAGTGAGTATTTAAGTTGTGAAACTGAAAAAGTAATGAAATCTTACGGAGTGAGTAAATTTGTGGTCCTTATTGGAGACAACGCACGAAATGTCCAAAAGTCATTCGAAATGATAAAAAACAAATACCCACATATTGTGCCATTGAACTGTGCTGCTCACACTATGAATTTATTGTGCGTTGATGTAATAAAAGCACCCGAAGTTAAAGCTTTCATAGATCTCGCAACAGATTTTATTAAAAATATTAAAAAAAGTCAAATCTTAAGTGCTTTATTAAGTAAAATTAGAAAAGAAAAAAGCTCTAGTCAGAGTCTAAAATTATCCTGTAAGACAAGATGGGGCAGTCATGTCAGTGCACTAAAAAGTCTGAAAATTAATAAAGCTGCACTACAGACTTTAGCTGTTAATGAAAACCTTCAGCCAACGCCCGATATTAAATCTACACTTTTAGATGAAGATTTCTGGTCTATGATAGAACAATCCATCAGTGTTCTTGAGCCTATAGCAGAAAGTATCTTTAAACTAGAAGGCAACGAATTCAACATACATGAAGTATTTATGGTGCTAAGAAACCTTAAATCAAAGTTAGAATTTGTGTTACCAACAATCACCATGCTGGATGACGAGAGCAAGGAGAACATAAAAACTTATATTGAAAGACGAGTTAAGCAGTGCAAAAAACCAATACATTATGCGGCCTACATGTTTGATCCTAAAGCTGCTGGCATTGAACTAAATCAGGAGGAAGAAACTGAAGCCATGGAATTAATCTATAACCTCGCTGAGCATTGCAACATTGACTGTCTTGCTGACCTGGCTAAATATAAAGCTAAAGAAGGTCTTTGGAGCAAACCATTTACTTGGAAGGCCGCTGAAAAAGTAAATCCCATTTTATGGTGGAATATGTGGCTCAAGTCAGTTAAGTAAAGTTGCACTTAGAGTATTGACTGCACCCTGCACGTCAGCAGCCACCGAACGGTCGTTCAGCACACAGGGATTTATACATAGTGCTAAAAGAAACCGTCTCACATCCGAAAGAGCGGCGAAAATAACTTTCTTATCGTATAATTGGAACTTATTAAATAAAGGTGAAAACGTTAATCGTGTTTACAGTGAAGATACTGTTCCAGACAGGTCCGACATGGAAGACACAGATGATGATATGTTGCACGATGCTGCCATGGAGGGTCAAATACAAGAGGATATGGAATCTTCTCTTAGGGAGGATATATGGAACGATATGGAACCAGTAGCTTCAACTTCACGACAAACTAATCATATTGAATTCGTAAATATTAGCGAATGTTTATATGATACCGATAGTGATTAGGCTAATGGAACTTGCAATACAATAAAAAAATACTTTAATTATTATACCGGTCGGGTGTTAACAATGATTCTCTAGTGTGATTATAATTCGAAGTATAATAATATTGATTTTTAGAATTTTTACAATATTGTTCCTATTAATGCTAGAAGTCATATTTTTATTATTTGATTAGTACATATTTTTTTATTTTATTAATTAAGCACATATTCTAATATTTTTTATATAAAAATTATATTGTTGATTCTTGTTAAGATTTTCACATGACAAAGTATATCAATGTTATCATTTTAAAATAAAAACGTGTTCAATCATGAACATTCCTTGATTTATTTCTTTAATAAGTAAAATTTTACATTAAAAAATTAATTTGACCACGTTTTAGTATTACTTTTTCTTGCCCTGTAATTGGACATATATAGGGCAAAAATAAATTTATGCCCAAAATGCCGGGTTTTTGCCAATTTTTCCCGCCGGACAGAAACACATTGCCCATCTCTAATTTAGACTAGACTTATTTGTTTGATGGTGGTTGTAGATGGTCATGAGTTTTCTGTAGCGACCAAGTGGACTGTGAAATCATTCGTCACTCCAATATTGATAAAACTAGTCCATTGCTAACAGTCACTTTTACATATTTCCATAATAATTATTGCAAAATACCTAAGTATTGTAAATATTTATTATTTTACTACTTTATTTACGTCTGACGTAAACTAGACGCCTAGAAAATGCCAGTTCTACAAGTCAAAACGGAGTGATGGATTATCTTTCGTCGTCACGTCATCACACAGCAAACTTATTTATTTTTCCCTCCATAATACTGTATATACATTATGTGACCGATAAAGCATTAGAAACCTCGAATAAAGCTTATTTTACGAATTTTATAGCGTTTACTTTGAAATATTTTTAATTCCCGACATATTACACCGACGCGACGGCGCCCCGGTATGTTTGTAGTCTGTGAACATTTTCAAGATCGCCTTCGCCACAGATTTGATAAACTACAAGTCTTCGCAAAAGAGCAACAATTCCTACCATGATGATTCGCGAGCCTATTGAAATCGAAAACACATCTGCTTGGGATCCTTTAATTAATAACATTAAATTCAAATCCAAGCATACTACTGCAAGACTTCAAGATACTGTAAACTCATTCTGCGTAGATCGGATCAAGAATGGGGGATTAAATAGTTAAAATTACACGCGATAAAATCCTAAAAATTGCTTTCATTTAATATGTAGTATCCATTTAAATATAAGAAAGCTTGTAAAACCTTTGAGTTAACAGTATAAACGTCACCAACATTTATATATAGATTTTCACCTTTTAAACAGGATTTAGAATCTGCGAGACATTTGTGTTATTCGGTTTGTTTTACCAACTTACCAACCAATTTACTGATAACGAAGCGAATTAAGAAAATTAGTTCCATCTGCAAACACACACACATGCAGGGCAATACTAGTTTACACGCTATTATGAGTTCTTTCGTCTGTGGTATTATGATTGAATGATTGCTTGCGGTCGTTGACCTTGCATTACGAGCGGCAGAGTGGTTTGTCAACAAATTCGAATGTTTTGTCTCAGATGTGAGCGGTCACTCCCTTGTTGTATAAGTTTGCTTAATGTTTTTGTCAATTGTTGTTTTTGTTAGAAAACATCAAGTTAAAGCTTACGTTACTGGACACCTTAATATAGCTTACAGTACATTAAAGTGTCCGGTTCCGTCAATGGAAATAATAATGTTACAAGTGTAAAAAAAGTAAGACCAACCGTGATATGATATTATCATACGAATTTATTCTATTTTATTCACCTTTTTCATACCGTTTCAAAGCTTGGTATTTATAACTCTTCTTGTGTTGTATAATCAGCTTAACACAGATTTCGTGTAATATACCTAGGTTCAGGGTTCAGGTTCTTCCCACGAGAATATAGTTTACTCTACGCGAAGGCTCACTACGTATTATAAAATAAATAGAAACTATTATTTTATTATTATCTTTATCTGAAACTTATTTATTAGTCTAAAGATGTTTACTGGTGGTAGGCCTTAACAGACAGACTAATTGCATTAATCACCGAGTTTGGTATTCGGATTAGCGGTTGTTTGAGTTCTCTTTATTAATCAAAATTAATGCTTAACCTCGAACATTTTTTCTTGAGTTTACGCTTCAATGTTTTCTTTTTTAATTGAAACTATAGGAATAAAATGCTTACGCGTAATCGGTAATTTCTAGTTTGCAAAGCTTTTATTTTTATTTTATATGCCTAGATCATTAGGCATTAGAAGTTAATGCCAAATTTTTTTTTATAGAATAGGGTGACAAACGAGCGCCCAGTCCACCTGATGGTAAGCGGTCGCTGTGGCCCATAGATATCTACATCTATCCTCGTTTGCGAATCAAAATGCAGATGTGTTGTCACCCGTGAGGACTAAGATAGAATGCCTCTATTCCAGTAAAAAGGGTCTCCGGTTCTCTACACTCACCATTCGAAACACATCAGTGTTAAGCTGCTATTTTACGCAGGTATTCTGTGAAAGCGTGGTCCATCCCCAGTCTAGCCGACCCATTCGTGCTACAACTATACTACTAATATAGCTGCAGCACGGCTCTACCACGTTAAGTTAAATTTCAAGTTTCTAAGTAACCTAGAAGTGGCTTAGGTTTTTGATGAGTGAGTGAATGAGTGATAAAAATGGCATTTTCCAAACATTTATCATTCAAGAACTAAAATAGCTTCATTCATGAAATGTGTGATTCTAGGTATTTAAGGGGTCCTTACTAGGTATGATTACAAGTGTGTAAGTCTAATCGTTTTCGAGTTATGAGGGGGTTGAATGTGGCTTAAAATGGTTCGTGTAAGTAATATACGATCTGTTGGTGCGTCGCCCTTATCCCCTTTTCTTTTGCGAATTTGGCTGAAACACTGAGTGTTTCATGGCTGAATGAACTAAATTATCATAAACCTGGCGGTTTAATTTCAATTTGAAAATATGCCACCCTATAAAATAACGCATTAAGATTAATGATTTGGAGCGATACAAGTATAAATGATTTATTTTTTCAATTTTTCTATCTATACATATAATAAAACTGTAAATAGCAGATGTCTGTACATTTTATATTTTTGTAATAAAAGTGATTGAGGGGTACTAAAAATAAGTAATTAAATACATTTCTACCATTTTTAGAATTTTCTGTCTGTCTGTCTGTCTGTCTGTCTGTCTGTTTGTTTGTTAACGTATCACGTTTAAAGTACTAATTTATATCATAAGAATTGTTAAGGAGATTATAAAGTAAACCTTCGGGTTACATTTAGTCTTTATTTCATTAAAATCGGTTCATTCCATCAAAAGTTATGATAAATATTCTGAAGTATGGATAGGGAATTTGCTTAACGGTGGCTTTGTTTGAGTCATCAAGTTGATGTTAGCAGCGCCATCTCTCTTTAAATATATACATATAATAAAAATAACATGTTGTGTCTCTTTCTGTACATTGTATATATATATTATGGTGACTAAAATCATTATGGGGAACTAAAAATAATTAAATAAGTACATTTTTATAATTTTTAGAATTGTCTTTCTGTCTGTTTGTCTGTTTTTATATGAAAGCATCACGTCTAAAGTAAATATCTTTTTTTTTTCAAAGAAATCGTTAAGAAAATAATAAAGCGTATCTTCGAGTTACATTTAATCTTTGTTTTATTAAAATTGGTTACTTCTATCGAAAGTTATGATTATTATTTTGAAATGTAGGTTCGAATTTGTTTAATGGCGCCACAAAATCTCAGAAATAGTAATAAAAAGATACGTGTGTAAAAAAAACGTTCTATTATAATATATTTATACTTAAAACACAGTAAAAAAAAATATGTTTTCCTTAAATTAAAAAAGGATGTTTTCTCACAAAGAACGTAATAGATGGCGTTGTACAAATTACAACCTTTTCTGAATTGCGGTGTTAAGATTTTTCGCAGGTGAATCGTATTGACACTCACCGAAAAAATTTATGTTCATGAGTCCGACGAAGCTGCAAGCCTGTTAGAGCCGTGTAGGCTAGCAACACAAAGCACAAACATCGGCAGAAACAGAAAAAAGAGACGTACGTACGTCGAAATTATTCAACAAAACTCGAAAACTCGACTAAAAACTAAAAGTAGTAAATTTGCAATAAATGTCGTGATATTGTTTTATACCCAGAATCCCGCTAAACCTCTAATACCAAATAACTTTCCTTACAGTTTTAAGATAGGGATAATAACATCGATGATGACATCGATGTTGGCATCGATAGCTCAACATCGATGTTCGATGTTTAGGCTACTCAAAACATCGATGATGACCATTATCGATGGTTTTTGTATATGTGTAGATACTTACACATTGTTTTAAAATTATGTGGGTATACACATCAAGGGAAAAGTAACAATTAACTTGAATATCAATTTACGTAGAATAGTTATTATGCGACAACCGACAACGACACTACAAAATAAAGCGAAAGCAGTGACCATTGTGACATCACAGGTGACACTTGACAATTAAGTTTGACTCACCATACTGACATTTTTTTAGGTTAACGATGCGTTCAGGAATTCTGAATTATTCAAAATTTTTAATCTTCAGAGCAGATGCAAGATTTAGTTGATATTGATTTCGCGAGTTCGCATTGTTTGCAAGTTCCCAATTATCGATTATGGGTTCATTGACGTCGATGTTTCGATGTTTGACATGTGTCAACATCGATGTTAAAACATCGAAGTTTTAATTTTTAACATCGATGATCATCTAACATCCCTATTTTAAGTGTGTTTCCTACTCAGCGTGTGTTATGCGACGATCGTAAATAAAGCGCAAGGTCAAACTTTACGCGTTGTAGGAGTGGACCCCAGTACTGATTGTTTTGCACATGGCCAACTCTATGCCAACCTTTTTCTGTACGCCCCGGCTAAGTCTACTTCTATCGTCGTTTACACGGAAGCTCTATCATAAACGACTTAGAACTTTGAGCGTATCGATTTATTTTGTTACCACTTATTCATACAGTAATGATATAAATCGTTTAATATTCTCTTACCCTAAACGTCAAATTCTTTAAGTAAAACCTATATTCGCGAGCTACGCCGCGGGCACAGCTAGTTTCTAATAAAATTATACGTCTTGTTTTAATTAATAATTTTATATTAAGCAAAATGAACAATTCATTCCCAAAATGCAGATGTCAACGTAATTTTAACATTTGCTTTCAAAGTCGGGTAACAGCTAACAGCTGGCCGGATGCAGGAGGTCAGCTGTGAACGCCATATTGTTTTTGCTGGGGACAATGTACGAGAAAAATGTGCAGTATGCGTTCAACATTTTATGTTTTATATTAAAGTTCTAGCATTGAACGCATAGACATCCATGGAATTACGATTGCATTGAGTGGCAGATAAGCTTCTTTGAAATTGATTTGTTTTTATATAAAAGAGTTTTAGTATCTCACAGATTTTGCTATAGTTCACATTCACAGCAACAATTCACTGTTCAAGAATATTTTTATTTTTAATTTGTGACAATTTTTCTGTGCATTTACTTATCTTTTAACACGGATGTAATATGACGATTCTTTGGAATTTCTGATTCATTTTAGTTTCTTCTTTCATAAATTGACGTGCGTGAATTTTACACGCTTCGATAATATTTTCACATTCCGCTTTCTCTATATTATGTTGTTGAAGTTCCCAAGGGAAATGCTACAACTCTTTGTCACCATTAGGTTCCATACATACCTATATTAAGTATTGTGTTAATACGTAGGTAGGTTGTTCTGAAGTCAAATAATACAAAAAGTCCAAGCTGACCAACAAAATAAAATATTATAATATTATTTTGTGGTAAAAAATTTAAATTGTTTTCAAATAGCTTTATATTTTATGCTTGTAAAAATCTGTTAAATTAACATAGTTTTTATTTATAAAACTGAAGTAACAAAAGAACTTACAGTAAACCTTATGGTAAGTGGCTACTGCAGTCCACAGACTCCTGCTGCCAACTTCAATAAAGAAGGATATCGATGTGTTGTCACCTCTGAGAAATAAGATACAATGTCTCATAGACAGGAATATTTGATCCTCATAGGCAAGAGGGTGGTACCTACCAGAGGAGTATTACCGCCTAGAATATGTTTTACAATTACGTACTATATTAAAACTAAATTAAAGTCAGTGGTCGCCGTGTAGTGGCGAAGTGAATCTACTACCCCATATCATTCTGTACGTGTCGTAAGAGGCGACAGAGGGAAATGAGGGCTAATAATCTTCCACTCACCAGATGTCGCTAGTTGTGACTGAGGTAAAGTTTTTTGTTGCACAGTGTCACTTAATTGAGGAATTAGTTTTAAGTAAGAGTTTATCATTATATAGAGTATTATATTAATACCTACACAACAAAATGTGTCAGCGGTTTGATTTATAATTTTTTGCACTTTATAACTCTTAAAAAAATCGGCTTTTAGTTATATTTATAGTTTGGTTTATTCATTTCTAATGAAATTAATATATAATATAACTAATAATACAGAAAGAAACCTTAAAGATTACATTTTCCTAAGAAATTATCGTCCCCGCTATGAAATCTGTCAAATATTTTACCTTACTGTAAAGTGGCGCCGCCCTGGTGGCAGAAAAAGTCATGGATGCCCTCATTTAAACAGGATAAATATATATTTATTTATTTATTTATTGTGTCTACCAGCGATTTTACAATACATACGTTACGTAAGTACATTTCTTAAAGTATAATTGCTATATTACTTGCACAGAGTATGTAAAATCATTTAGAGGTAAACACTACATGCTATTTTTGCTAGTATTAGTGTATAAATCTGAAATAAGTTAATAACAGAAAAAAAAACAAAATCAGAAACAAAGAAAAAAAACACAATAGTAATTTTGGTAAAAGCCTGTAAAACCTTATCAATTTAAACAACAAAAGAGATTTAATCAAACTAATAATTAGTCTTTCAATTAAAATTACAACTTAATTTAACAACTATCATAATCTAACCCAACTAAATATGTATATTATAAGAAGTGAAAAGAAAATATACGTAATAATTAATATGAGAAAAAAATCACACTCAGGATGACTGGCTGACTAGGTTGCTGATAATTAATTTACGAAAGGTGTTAGGCGAATTAATGTTGATGTCAATTAACTGACTGAATTTATTATATATTTTACATAAACGAGGGATTGTGGAGTTGGCGCCGAAGACCGTCCTGGTGCGTGGAGGCATGACCGGAGTAATAGCAGTACGCGGATATCTGCGTGGTACTCGAAAATTAATTTTACTTAGTAAACTGGGGTAGTCTAACTTATTACTTAGTAATTTGTATAAAACATTAAATCTAACAATTCTCTTCTTTGGTCAAGAGTCATGATGTTAAAGTATTTTAGCCTTTTTTTATAGGACACCACCGTTTTGTTAATCTTCGCTGAGTATGATAGATGCCACAAGAATCTTTTCTGTACACGCTCCAGTCTTAAGTAGTGTGTAGAATAATGTGGACGCCATACAACGCTACAGTACTCTAAGTGACTGCGGACAAGGCTGTTGTAAAGACAGATTTTTGTTTTAGCTTCTTTAAAAGTTCGACCTTGTCGCATAATAAAACCTAACAATTTAGAAGCTTTGCTTATTACACTTTCTATTTGGTAAAGATAAGTTAATTTTTTATCAAGTATAATATCCAAGTCTTTCACGAGCTCAACTTCCTTAAGACTATTACCGTACAATTTATATGTCGTTGGGGTAGTATTATTTTTTCTAGTAAATTTAATATGAAGACATTTACTACAGTTGAGTTGCATGCCATTAGATTTACACCAATTGGTTAGTTTATCTAGATCGCTCTGTAATAAAATCGAATCAATTGGTAAACAAATTGTTCTCATTATTTTCAAATCATCGGCATATAAGTATGGTGTGGAGTTTTCAAAATAAGAAACAATGTCGTTTACAAATATATTAAACAAAATTGGGCCAAGATGCGAGCCCTGAGGTATACCTGACGTTCCAGATTGGTTGTAGAGCTAAACCCTTTAACAACTACATAAAAAGAACGGTCGTGTAAGTATGATGAAAGCCATTTTAGCACCGGGCCTGAAAACCCATAATACGATAATTTTTCAATAAGTATTCCGCGTGGAACTTTGTCAAATGCTTTTTTAAAATCCGTATATATGGTATATCTGTATACCTGCTTCTGCGAGTCAATAGCTTCTGATAATGAGGAAGTGAAACTAACGAAATTAGTGGTGGTAGACCCACCTGGCAAAAATCCATATAACAACTGAAAATAATAATAAACTGCGTCCGATAATTACTAATCTTAACGACCTCCATAGGAAGGGAAGTAAAAAGAGTAATGAATTATCTTGTAAATTATTTTATCATCCTTACATACTAAAATAATAAAAATTAATAAATTTCATTTCAGTTTATTCGAAGAGATGTCGCTGGCGGATGTGACGTCGGCGCGTAGTTCACCCGCCCCGGAGGCTTGTCCGGAGTGCGATACTAGCGCCTCTGTCACATCTGATTTGCACAAGGTTTGTTTCGTTACAGAATTTATTAACATGTTTATTGAAGATTTAGTGTCTAGTAATTATTTTTAAGAATACGTCCTACATTCATGCTTATTTATTAAATTAATTAATAGTCTTTGTAACCACTCGCAAGTAAGCATAAAATGTTTGTGTTTACGACGGCATTCGAATAGCGGATTTAAATTTTGAACCCATGATTTCTTGGATATTTGCAATGCGCATCCGTAACCATTAGACTACTGCTTATTAAAGAAATTGAAGATATGTTTTGGTCAACAATACTTACATTTAATATTTTTGGGGCAGTATTGCGGCGGCTAATGGTCAGAAGTGGACTGATAATGAAGAAGACGAATTACAATCATTATTGTAATAGCAATGGACTGATGAGTAATCTATTAAGTGATGTAAACTAGAGTTATATAGGGCGATATCCGCTTTTATCGATATCATACCGATAGCGATATTCATAAAAAATATCGGCGAATCATATATCGATACGGTTATCTCTCTATCACTTTAAGCTAAAGTGACTGTTAAAATTGAGTAGCGTTTCAGTATTTGGCCAAATATCTCCAAGTTTTATCTAGTTTATCCAGTTATATCAAACCTTTTTTGAAGCTCGATACTTGAAACGTGTCGGTGTGTCGGCAAATAAACATCGCCTATGCCGATATATCGGCAAATCCAAATTATTACCGATATGTCTGCATTGGAAACAAATGCATTCCTAATTTATTTAAACAATGATTGGCGTTTTAAGTAAATAATTATTTTCACGCTTTTTTGACCGAATCCCATTTTATTTCTTTGTTCCTTTGTTGTTGACTGGAAACAATCGGTTTTAGCAGTGTGACCCCTCATTGTATTATAAGAAAAGTTGTTTATTTGTAACTCGGTAACTTTAACCTTGCTGTTTTGTCAGATTTGATCAATCCTTATCTTTATCTGCTTGTAAACAGTTGCTTCTGATGTCCCAGTCGCATCGTGGGAGAGATTTGTCGTTGTCGTCACTCTTTGGATTGACGACCGCCATACTCGTACCGCCATAGCAAACATTTTGCAGCTGTGACGGTGCTTCACTTCTGCTCTCCGTCGCTGGTCTGGAAAACATCGAGATGATTATCCTGCTACCGGATTTAAAGTAGGGATAGTACCCTAGCCATTAAGAATCAATTATTTCCGCCGAACTCTAATACAATCAACGAATAATTTTGATTTTTAATATCTTTTTTTTTCTCTTCCAGTTCCAAAACTGAATTATTTATGTCATTGAATGTATTATACATTATACATATACACTAAATTGCTATTATACATACATATATACAATATTTATCAAAAAAAATTTCTAAAACTAAAAACTACAGTCCTACTCCTCGCGGCATACTACCAAGAACACTGGCTGCGTTTTCTCACTTGACTTACTCTTAGCCTTTGAGCCAGAAAAGAACCAGCCTTCTTGTCACTACAGGCGATGATGATATTAATTATTTATTTACAAATCTAGTAATTAACAAGGAATTATTTTTAAAAGAATGTAAGCATTTTAATGGCTTTTGTATTCAATCTCTTTTCTGTTTCTTGACCACCGTTAGAAAAAGACGATCGGAGTCAACGTTAAATCAGAATTTCTTGAAGTTACTTCTCGAAGTTTCCTGCAGTAAGTCTGGTACGTACTGCAACAGTAAGTAATTGGTATCCTCGTCGATATAACAGACATTATCGTTAAGGTGGGAAGCCTTACACAGCAATAAACGTTTTTTGTGAATTTCTTGACAATAGGTACTTCATTCAATTTTAAATTTCCTTTTGGTAAATCGTCACTTTGCCTTAATTTACTCTCTTTGTAAAAGCTTTAGGTTCTGGTTGCCTCATGTTCGCTCGTTGTTTTCGTTTCGTAAATTTTAAAAATAAGTGCAAAAAAAATGTATTGTTAGGCACTTATTTTCCTAAGTATGTCATTACATGCTTATCACGAATAGACATATTGAGATATTACGCTGAACGCTTATTATGGCCATATTCATTGATTTATAATATATTATTGCGTTTTTATTCTTTATTGCGGCGTAATACTTACGACGAAAAGAAATATATTACACTACATTATGCTGTATTTCGTTTTGACCATATTGCATTTCGGTCTTTATTGCGGCGTAAAATGGCTAATTTTGTAGCGTATTATATAACCCTTGTATTCCCTGCATCCGTACTTTTCATAGCGTAGCAGGATATAACAGGATAAGAGATCAAAAAAAAATTCTTGGCATTTCCCTTTGTCATGTTTTACGATATCTTCGATCGATCACTTCTAATCATTCGCCGCAGAGATATCGTAAAAGAAGGTTGAGAAATTGGCGTTGTCATTTCATGTTTTCTTCTCATTCTTCTTCATCAGCTTATAAAATTTAATGTTGGATGTTGACGACCGCCGCCAATAATCGATTGCAAGATCAGGGGAATTGTAGGTGCGTTGCCGGCATTATTAAAAAGGATTAAGGACTAATCGCTGGGGATAGAAGATTCCACAAAGCAGTCGTGCGAAGAAGAAAATTCCTAGAAAATCGCACAGGGGTCGACCGCCAAGCATCCAGATGGCGTGTACGGTATCATGAATTTTGTTGCGATGTGCGATGGTGAAATTTCGTGGCTAGAATTAATCAAAGAAATACCTTAGAACACTCCCCGTGGTAAATGCGTTGGAAAATGCTGAGGAACGTAACAACCCTTCGCAGCGCCAGTGATTCAAGCCGATCAGAAAAAAAATTGTCATCGACGATTCGGGGTGCTATTCGCTGGATTCAGTCAAGTAGAAGGAGCTGACATCGGAGTGCTTCGGCCCGGAGATGAGAACGGAAGCCATAAGATCTTTATAGCATTTAGCATATTTTATTATTTTTAGCATACGCGACCTAATTGTGTGATGGCCGATTTAAAAAGGCTTCACACTGATTTTTTTTGAGAAGGTCTTGTTTTTGCGAACCGGTTTAGATTTCGATGTTCATAAGAGCTTTTAACACGTCGAAATTTAATAAACAGTTTTGAATATCATCTTTGATGGACTGTAAGTCGACACAATTTTTATCAGTGATAATTAATAATAGATAATTAACAATCTATTATTGTTTACTCTTTAACATAACTTATGTCACAGGATAAATAATAGAACTAACGTACTGGCTTATTATTTTATCTCCATTCTTCTTTACCTTTGATTAATACAGATACTTCTTGATCTTTTTTATATTTACCTCTAAAGTATTCTTACTTTTTTAACTCCACTATACTCAAAAATTCCCACAATACTTGGCGGCTTAAGATAATATCCTACCGCATAATATCATCCCATGGATTTTGTAAGGGGCAACGAAGGGAGATGAAACAAATGGTTAGCAGCATCTTCCACATAACAACTCAAAATAATAAAAATTTATTTTATATTTATTTATTATTTTATATTTTATGATATTTTATTTATTGAAGATAAAATTTTGATTATGATCCATAAAATTAGAATAGAAAGTACAAAGTTTTAAAGGGTAATCACTCTGCAATTACCTACAGTACAAACTGTCACCAACTTAATCTAACCTTAGATTTATATAGACTTTAACAACCTTAAAAATAAAGTATCAAAACTTTTCAGTACCAAGTGGCGTGCACATGCAAACCGTCGACGGCTCAGTACGCATGCGCAGATGACCCCGGTCCCCCGCCACCCGCGAAAACCGACACTCCTCCGGCGCTTCCACCACGTCCACCCACTAATGTATTGGCGGCGACGAACAGGAGAAACAATGGTTTGTAGACTTCAACATAAATGGCATTGAGTTTAAAATTAAAGTTTTCAGATGCACGCAAATAATATTACAAAATACTTAATTGAACATTTGTCCGCCGTATTCTAGTAGCCTAGTAGCTCTAGTAGTTAAATTTGGCAAAAGACAAGTAGGCACTGTGGTCTTTATGTAAATAATGATTAATGTTTTAAGATACGAAATAAGTTAATTCTAATGTTACTTTTTAAAGATATAGATCTTTAGCGAAAATAACAAATACTTATAATCCATAACTCCTCATAAAAGAACGTCGATTTATAACAAGGATGACTCTCGAGGCCATAGAACTAAAAATAATTTAAAATAAAAATTATTAAGATTAACTCAAAAACTATTGGTCACACCTTGATCAAATTTATATGGCACCACATATGAAGCACCAGCTTTCAAATAAAAAAGAGAATCATTGAAATCGGTTTGCCCAGTAAAAAGTTATGAGAAACACATAAAAAAAAAAACATACAGTCGAATTGAGTTCCGTCTCCTTTTTGAAGTCGGTAGATAAAAACATCCAAATTTTAATAGGGATGATGGCTAGGTGCCATTCTAGGCCATTTCCTTGGGAATGCGTTTTGACTTTGACTTTGTAAACTGCCTCCACGGCACACAAAAAATTCTAATGTGGAGGTAACGTTTATAAAAATGGAATTAAATTGTCTCGCATTGCAATGCTTGGAATTGTATGATTAATAAATTTGAATTAAAACTCTATGAGCTCGTTCTACGTAGATACGAGCAAAAGTTAATATTTAAGAGCTGAAGGTAAGCCCGAGTTAACTCTACAATAAACACTTCTGTAATAAAGCACCCGAAATGTCGGAAATTAAAACACTTAAGTTTAAAAGAGGTAACTTGAAATTAAACGTGAGAAGTTCCGTTTTATTCAATGTGTACCGGAATTTATACAGTGCAAGTACTGATGTTTATTAATAATAATGTACTTATTTAAATAGAGCTTTATTCACTTCGTTGTATAACTAAACTTCCTTTTAGTTTGAAAAATCAATGAATTATTATCAGCAAAAATACTTTATCCCTTACTAGGTAAGATAAATTTTTTATATGAATTAAGATCAGGAATGTGCCAAGAATTGAGCTCTAAGGTACACCCGTTACAGTTTGCCCCCGTTGTTTACCGCCTCTCGATGATGAAATCTGAACACTCATAACATTCTAGTTTTTAAAAATTTTACATATTTAATATTTTTTACAACTTGTGGTAGTTCGCTTTAGTGAATCTTCTACAACGTTTTTATAAAGCGGTAAAAAAATTAACTAGTCCTCATGAGACATTGACTACTGCAGCTCTTGGACACTACTAACCATTGTATGAACCATCGCAGACATTGGATCCAATTTTAGTTGTGCCATTTTTTATACTTTCATAGATTTAAAAAGTTTTATTTAAGCGAAAAAAAATATTTATGCTTTCCGGCTGGTCATTATATATAAAATGCATAAGAATTTGCACAATAAATTCACACAATGCGTGTCCCACAAAACTGATTTAGGTAACTGATGTTTGGCCATTACATACGCAGGTGTGTGACAAAAAAAATTGCCTTTTAAAAATCTAACAATAGCTGCTTAGTTTGTGAATATCTACCTGTATCACAAACTTATGAATAGTGTACCTGATGGCTTAACATGTGAAAAGATATGTCTTTTATATTATTACCGCATTTTTTGGACAATTCAATTCAATGGACGTGGGTACGCTGCCGATGTACAATGTTATAGTTACAATTGCGGGATGAAATCTATAAGTCACATTTGGATTCGTTTAATTTAAGTCCTTTTTACCTGCGATCCCATAAAGCACGCATTGCTTCTGCGCGAGTCAGCCATTGTCAGAATATATAACCTAGTCGACAGTAGTAAACGTATTAGTAAAATGTAACCTCTATTTATTCGCGGAAAAATCAGTTAACGTTGCTTTCTTATCACTTCTTATGATGTGGTGTTAATTGTGCCAGTTACCGTGGTATTTTACAGATATAATATTATCGGCAATTATTGTACACAAATTAAGGAGGGAAAATGCACACATATACCTACAGTTGGATAAAAGTTTAATGTGCAAATAACTAAAAATACTAGTTTCATCTTCATTAATTCAGATCTAAAGTGAAAATATTGTTTGTCACGAAAATGTTTGTTTCGTTCGAAAAGTTCATTGTTCTTTACAGTGTTTGGAGTGTTGTGTTGTAAATATCGATTCTTGGGATGGCGCGTAGTTTGAATGTGGCGTGTTATTTTTGTTTGTTCCTACTTAAACTTATTGGGATTTTTAAAAGAAATACTAAAAGTGTAAATTAAAAATGACATGAGAGTTCAATGTTGTTTTTTTCTTGAAAATAACTTGGGTGCGTGTTGTGACATTGAAATAAGTTAGGGATATGCAAACGTGCAGCATAATGCAAGTTTTGCAATACCAAGTGTCCACCACACCTCAACCGACAATAGCAGCTGAAGTAGCCCAGCATTATGTTCCACCGCCTCCATATTTTGGTAATTGTTATTAAAATAATAAATTAAATTACATAAACAGCTACCTATAAATAAATGTTTAGTAATAATACTTAATTTAAATAGCAAGTAGGTACCTAGCTAATTGTAACTATATGTAATTCATTGTCAATGAACTTTTTTATTGTATAAATAAAAGACGCCAGTAATTCGGCCAATATACCACTCAAGTTTTATGAGAATTTTTCTTTAAAGAAAACAATAGTTTCAGAAAAAAAATCCAACACTTAATTTATTGGATAAAATATTATAAGAATATCAAACTAAGTACTTAAGTATCTCTAAGGATGAATAGTGTCATGATTTATCGTTACGGAAGTTAAACGAACTTGGCTAATTTAATTATAGCTAAGTAACGTGAGATAGGTAAGATTAACCTAACGTAAGCTAGCATTCGTTTTATGATCCTCGGCGTACCACTAGGTTCGGTTTTGGGACCGTCGCTGTTTTTTAAATATGTATTTAAAATTCACAATAGCAGTTGTGAATTCTGAATAAAAGGTAATAAAATTTTGATACAACATATCATCTATATCATGGACATAATAATACTTAATAGTTATTTTTCTTTAGTCATTGCATTTTCTGAACATGAACATTTTGTAAGTTATTTATATAAAAATTTACTAAAAAGGAATTTAGGATCGGAGGTCATATATTATTAAAATTAGAATTTAACTAATATTGCTCACCGAAGCGTTCCGAGGCATAAATTTCGATGTTCACCGCATCATTCGTTCACAAGTAGCGAAGTATAGCTACAAAAACAGATTTGGCAACATTCCTTTTATAACGCGGGAGAAGCTTAGGCTACGGGAGCAACGGAAAGATTATGCCGGACTCCTACCGGCTCAATCCCCACGGTTATAAACACTATCGTCTACAAGGGATCACGGGATCTTCGTTTCAAACGCAAGCGAGAAATGAAATCGTCCGTAACCTCAATAGGTCCCGTTTCAGGTAGGGAACACTATCAGCATCAAGCGGACCTTAACGAGCACCGAGGAAGGGGTCTGTTCTTTCCCGACACCCCTCAGCAGCCTCTTTCTAGACCATTACTTGTTCACAAAAGGTGGTTACGGTTCTCCACGCTGAATCTCTGCTCAGCGTCACCGACACCTTTTTTATAGAATAAGGGTGACAGACGAGCACAAAGTCCATTTGGTGATAACTAGATGCTGTGGCCTATAGACATCTATCCTGGATTAAGTATCAAAATGCAGATGCGTTGTCACCCCTTATGACTAAGAATGCTTCGTTTGCAGTAAAAAGGGTCTCCGGTTGTCTACACTCACCATACAAAACACATCTGCATTGAGCTGCTATTTTACATGGTATTCTGCGAGAGCGTCGTCGTTCCCCGGTCGAGCCGACCCATTCGTGCTACAGTCATAATATAGTAGTTCTATTCGATCCTGCTCACCAGAATCTTTCGCGCCCATTCCCATGCTGGACATTTTGCATGCATATAGGCGGATCCCCCCGCGCGCATTTCTCCCCCCGATTGAAAGAGTAGCGGGTACACTAGGCGCCCTAAGCGTTCTTCTAAGCTCCAGTGACTGTCCAGGTACATGAAGTCGCTGGGGCTTCATCGCCTGTCTTGGGAGGCACTATTTGTAATACAAACTCGTAATTTTTGGCGACGACAACTGCCTGTGCCGCCCCAAGCTCGGCGTGCTCCTTAGTCATCTCAAAGGTGACCCCACTGGCGATCACCAACGATCGTCAGCATAGCAAACGATATCAACGCTAGCCGCGAAGGATGACCCGCAGAGTTGCATTAATACGCGAGGTTCCACAGTAGTGGCCCCAGCACCGAGCCCTGTGGAACCCCATGTTTTATCTGCCTCATGTGCAGAATGTAAAATATGTCTTAATTAAAAAGATGCAATGATAATGTGCTAAAACTATAGTCAATGTCGGTCTATTGTCCATAAATAAATTACTAAATAGTTTATTCGCATTAAGTCGATCCTAGTTTGTTAACTTTTATGATTATAGTCTGTTTCGTGTGCCAAATAAACCTAAAACTGCTTTACTGAAATTGAATGGTAGATAACACTTTCAAGGTCAAAAGGGTTAAGTTTAAGAATTCACATATTTTTAATCTGGACCCTAGTTCAGTTCCTTAGTAGGTTTTTAGGTATAATTTGCATTAATATTTATAAAAAAAAAATTAAAATTCTTTAAATATTCAACATTATTAAAACTGATTCATAACTGTGCGCATAAGGGAAACCTTCGCCCTATAACATTCCGAGTAGGAAAAACTCCGACGTTTCCGTGGCTTCCGATAGATGGCTGTATAATTATATATATACTAGATTTAAATCTAGCGGTTGCCGATCCTGCACTCGGAAAATCTCCCTACTATATCAAGGAGTTAATAAACTACATCAATTAATACATTATATCGGCCTTAATAGAATAAAAAAAAAACATGCGTGAGTGTCGTGGAACACTCGGTTGAAACGAAGTTCCTTTCATAGTATATTATTATTGATAAACGTATTATATTACAGATTAACAAATACAAATAAATTAATTATCAGCGTCTATTAAAATGAAGCGTCATCTATACATCTATACAAATAAATAAAATTGAAGTGTCTGCTTGTAATGTCAAAATCACAGCATTTTACTAAATGCATATGAAAGTACGAGTATATACGGTACTAATAACAAATACACGATTTTTAAAATTTTTGTCTGTCTGTCTGTCCGTCTGTCTGTCTGTTTGTTCCGACTAATCTCCGAAACGACTGGACCGATTTTGATGGGATTTTCATTGGCAGATAGCTGATGTCACAAGGAGTAACTTAGGCTACTTTTATTTTTGAAAAAAAAAATAGGGTTCCGTGAAAAAAAATTAAAACTACAATTAACACGCGGATGAAGTCGCGGGGAACAGCTAGTTTAAAATAAAATACACTATGACACAGGGGGTAGTTACGAAAAAATCTTACACAGCCTAGCTCCCATCCGCCAAACCCGTACCGTCCGATAAGGAACTTCGTTCCAAAATACATGCGTGAGTGTCGTGGAACACTCGGTTGGATAGAAGTTTCTTTCGTAGTATATTATTATTGATAAACATATTATATTATTGATTAACAAATACAAATAAATGAATTACTAGCTGTATTAAAATGAAGCGTCATTTAAAATAAAATAATATTTTTTTCAAGGCAAGATTAGAAAAAGTGCGAGGGAGATGCATATTATTCCATCTCGCTTCTTTATAGCCGCCAAGGCTGTCTACACTACGTCAGAAGGGGTCGTGACGGAAAATTCTTACACTTTTACTCGCCCAGCCCCGATCCGCCAAATTCGTACCGCCCGAAGAACTTCGTTCTAAAAATAGTCGTAGTAGCTTATTTAGGCGTGGTAATTTACATAATATCATATAGGTACATAAACGTCGTGAGGAAACCTACATGTCAATTTCGACAACACGCATTGGGGCAGTGCGGCGGACGTTTCCTTGCCCTAAAAGCCTCTTAGAAATAAAAGCCGCAGCAGCATCCCAGCAGTCGAATGTATATAGGCTGTAACATTAATTTTTATTTATATCTTATATTTTACTTATTGTTATTTAAAACCATTCCAATTCTTTTATGTAGCCTGCTCTATGACCTTCTTAGAAACAGAGATGAAACAGACGGGGTAATAGAGCAAGCCTATGCACAGTAAGACATATGCACTAACTAGAAAAAGAACGAATTCATAAAAAATGATAACTTGTTTATGATGGTGTTTTGTTTTCAGCGTCCGTGGGTTGTAATGGTAATGACAATTCCTGTCGGCGGAGGAAGTATGCGTGGTGGTGTGTGGGTTGTGGTGCGTTGGCAGCGGCACTGGGAGGTCTACTAGCCGCACAACATATTCTGCTACGATCCTATACTGCTTCGCCCCAACATTTAGAGACAGTGCCCGCTGCCGTACCAGCAGCAATGGTATATTTCGCATTTTATGAATAAAAAACTTTTATAATTTTTTATTTTTTTTTGCTTTGCTTTTTAATAATCTATAGAAATAAATAAAATTGAAGTGTCTGTTTGTAATGTCAAAATTACAGCGTTTTACTAAATGCATAATATGAAATTATAAAAATAACAAAAATACACCTTTTAAAAATTTTTGTCTGTCTGTCTGTCTGTTTGTTCCGGCTAATCTCCGAAACGGCTGGACCGATTTTGACGGGACTTTTACCGACGGATAGCTGCACATCAGCTATCCGTCGGTGAAAGTCCCGATAAGGAGTAATTTAGGCTACTTTTATTTTAGAAAAATAATTAGGGTTCCTCGCAAAAAAATTAAAACCCTAAATTACACGCGGGCGAAGTCGCGGGGAACAGCTAGTTTAGTTATAATTAAGAGCACTAAATGTTTAATCATCTGTGGTAAGAGGTTTTAGTTAAATGGAACCCGATGCCCAGAGGGAAGTAAGAATAACTTAAAAAATAATTTTACACGTGAAATATAAAATTGAGAACTTAATTTTGGTTATTCAAATTATAAAATGTGTTGCTTTAGTAGGTACCTACATACCTAGATATAAATTCATTCACCTTACCATTAAATAATTCTATTCTTTTTCCATTAATAAAAATCAACAGAACAAATGGTTTATATGTAATTTTTTACAGCTGGTGCTGACAGGAGTGTGCATAATGAGCTTAGCGAGGCGGAGGAACCGGTACAGCTATATGGTAAGAAAAGTATGTGGTTTTTAACTGTTATTAACAAACTGTTTAACTCTTTAAATTATCCTACGTTTACTACGTTGTCAGCTTTAATACCTCGTTTAGACTCTCGCCTCGCGGCTCGCCTCGTACCTCGCCTCGCAGCTTGCGTGTTGTTGCTAGGTAGCGAGTGCCTGTTTACACTATCGCGATGCGGTCAGTAAGGATGGGCAAAGGGAAAAAATATATCGATATATATCGAATCTATATTTTTAAACAGTATCGATATATAACGCGTGATAAATATTGATATATCGATATATCGTCTTCATTTGAATGATGTAAAGATAAGGTCCAAAATTTTATCTACTGATATATCGAAATTGATACGAATTCGATACTCTTAAATAAATATCGATATGTCGATATATCGCCAATTAAAATATCGACGATATATATCTATAGATAGATAGATATTTTTATTATAAAATATCGATATTTCGATATATCGATATTTATTGCCCAAGCCTAGCGATCAGTTTGCGCTTTGCGTTGAGCCAGCAACGATGAATGATTTCGAAATAATAGCGGCATCAACTCTTGCCTTAATAAGTATTTATCGATGTTTGACCATTTTAAAAAGAAGGAAATTAATAAAAATACGTCGTTGAGGAAGAATATGACGGATGATATCTATTCATCGAAACAGAACCTTTTCAGTTTCATAATTTTATATGAATTGCTAGTACCTATTGTGCAAGATTAAATAATATTATTTTATTAAAATTGTAATTGTTATTATGGAAGGGCGCCGTAAACAAACTGAAACGAGACGTGAGTGTAAACACCACGCTCGCGTCGCTCGCGAGGCCCTTTGCCTCGTGCCCAAAAGACCGCCACCAACGCGAGCGCCGCGAGTGGCGAGGCGAGCTGCGAGGCGAGCTGCGAGGCGAGCCACGGGCTAGCGTTTACACTCGCGCCTCGTGGCTCGCCTCGCGACTCGCCTCGTCGCTCACGCGAGAGTGTAAGTGGGGTATAAGCAATAATGCTTTTTGATTCGCTTGTATGTGAATTTCTATTAATAATTGAAGCGACCCACCTATTGTTATGTTTAAAACTTTGTGTATGTGGATAATGTTTATCGTTTTCAGATAAAAGTGGTAGGGGCTTGTTGTCTGGTTTGTGCGTTGACATGCGTGTTGGTCACCATCACAACCACCGTCATACATATGAACAAGTAAGTTTCTACTTTTGCCAGCTAATTTATTCGTTGTCATGTTACATATACGTTGATATATTAACATTTTTAAATCTTATAATAGTCCATATACATACTATTTTACTCAAAATTTTTTTTCATAAAATTGTATCTTAGGCTATAAGTATCTACTGTAAAACCAAACCAAGTGTAAAATTAGGTTAATTGTAAAATGAATTGATGGTTGGAATGAATGAAAATAATTTTGTTTTTGCTTTGAGGACAAATTAATAAGTTTGCCTTTAATTTTATACAAAAGTAATTTCTCACAATTATATATGTGATTAAGTATGTGTAACAGAAAAGGAAAGAACAAGAACATAAAAAAAAATCTTAAAGCCTTCACGGATAGAAGAATTTTTTATAGAATAAGGGTAACAAACGAGCACACAGTCTACCTGAGGGTAAGTGGATGCATTGGCTTATAGACATCAACATCTATCCTCGATTGAGAATGAAAATGCAGATACATTGTATCAAACCTAAGGATTAAAATGAAATGCCTTGTTTCCAGAAAAGAGGTTCTCCAGTTCTCTACACTCATCATACGAAACAACACTATTATTTTATTTTACGTTGGTATTCTGTTAGAGCGTGGTCCCTCCTCGATCGAGTCGACCCATTCGTGCTACAACCACATTATAGGTGCAGCATAGCTCTACCACGTAAGATTGTTATAATTAACGGTTTTTTCTGATTCCGCGGAAAATAATGTAATGTACTAACCTTATAAGATATATTATTATAAGAAGTAACTGTTTTTTTTATAGGATAAGGGTGACAAACGAGTACACAGACCACCTGATGGAATCAAAATGCAGATTGCTTTGCAGAATGCGTTGTCACCCGTGAAGACTAAGATGGAATGCCTCGTTTCCAGTAAAAAGGGTCTCCGGTTCTCTACACTCACCATACGAAACACAACAGTGTTAAGCTACTATTTTATGCTGGTATTCTGTGAGAGCGTGGTCCTTCCCCGGTCGAGCCGACCCATTCGTGGTACAACTATAATATAGCTGCAGCATGGCTCTACCACGTACTGTATTAGAAATTTAACAAATTTTGCATTACAGATTGCAGACGCTAAAGTTTTGCGAGTATACTAAGCTTACGCGCACGTGCACTTGCTTTTCAATGCCCCCGGATTCTCAACATAGCGGTACTGAAGAGGATGGTGAGTGTGATCAACTATCTTTTCTTCATTTTATCTAGTAACAATAATTTTAAACTTTCTAATCATCTGTATTCGCTCCCTGATATTGAAATTTGTTTCACCGCACCCGCACCACCTTTTTGAGATTCTTCCTGCGTCCAACATTACTAACTTATATATTGTTAATAATATTAAAGCGCATGCATTCACTGGATCGAATTTACCCTTGTTTGTAGCGATCTAATGTTTATTATGCGATAAGAAGAATCACATGCAATTTTTTTTTCTTTTTTATAGGAGAGGGGGCAAACGAGCATGCGGCTCACCTGATGGTAAGTGACTACCGCCGCCCATGAATAACTGCAACACCAGGGGACTTGCAGTTGCATTGCCGGCCTTTTAAAATGGAGTAGGCTCTTTTCTTGAAGGTCCCTAAGTCGTATTGGTCCGGAAAAATCGCTTGGTGGTAATCGATTCCACAAGGAAGTTGTGCGAGGGAGAAAACTTCTTCTAAATCGCACAGTGGTGGACCGCCAATCATCCAGATGATATGAATGGTATCGCGAGTTTTGTCGCGATGTGCGATGGTGAAATTGAGCGGCTGGAATTAGTCCGAACAATTCCTCAGAACAATCCCCGGTACCAGTGAGTCAAGCCGATCGGAAAGAACTCGGTCGTCGACGATTCGAACCGCTCTGCGCTGGATGCGGTCAAGTGAAAGGAGCTGGCACTGGGGAGACCCTGCCCAGAGATGGGAACAGTATTCCATGTGAGGCCGAACCGGCGCCTTGTAAAGTTGCGAGTGGTGTGCTGGCATGAAATACTGTCCCGCTCTGCTGAGCACGCCAATCTTAAAAAATATTAAAATATATTAAATATCAGAGAAAAGAGATCATATAGCTACTCTACATTCAGGTTCCACCAAATTCTTTTGATATGTTTATAACTTTTGATATGTTGGAATGGTAACGGCAACAATTTAACTGAAACTAAAAATTAAAACGGTACATTTATCGAGTCATGTCTGTATTTTTAAAATTATCGCATGTTTTGACTGACGTGGATAATACCTCGAAAATTCTTATATTTTTTACACATGTAGGTTTTTTTACGCAGTTTCTTTTTTTCGAGTGCGTGGTAAATCAGCACTTAAAATACCAATTAATAATTTTATCAGCGGTGATCGAACTCGATTTAGTTAGTCCTTTACTTGATTTACATAACATATATGTACTTATTGTTTAAGCAAAAAAAAAGATAAACATTCATATTATAATACATTAAGCGCATACTTCAGGATAAGAGAATGAGATGAACCCCGATCTCTAAACTAGGTTTACCTATTGTTTTTGACTTTATCAAAAGTGGCACCATATCCGTCAGGAGTACGGTGTGTGTTCGAGGGCGTATCGGAGTGCGGCGTGGTTCACGGAGCATTGTACTGGTGTTTGCGCGGCGTGTTCGCGCTCTCCGTCAGCGCTGTACTCGTGTGCATCTTTAGTTGCATGTTGGCTTACCAATTACTTAGGTAAGTTAACTAAATTTATTTGCAAATCTTTGTGGTATTTTAGTTCAACCTTCGAAAAAGTTTACTTTTGTTTATAACATAAGAATGACCAACCAGCAAATAGAGTGAATATTAACATCTGCTACCTACTTTAAGCTACTAGGTGATAGGTCTCCTTTCTACCTAGGAGTCCGCCTATTTCTGTCTCTTACCTATTTTTGCCGCCAAACAGCAGTGCGTGCACTGCTGTGTTCCATTCTGAAACATGTAGAGAGCAAATATAGTAGCAGGCTGTGAGGCATTCCATCTTAGTCCTCAAAGGTGACAACGCATCTGCAGTTTTCCTTGTTTGAAGTTATCCTTTGATCCAAACCAAAATGATTAAAAATAAACTGGTGATCCATGTCATACATATCGTAACCCGTACGATTTATTAAAACAATAATAGTTACTATGAACTGGAGTCTGTTACTTTGCAAGCACAAAGTATTAAATAATATTTGCTCGTTATATTTGTATGTTTTTTATTGTAAAGCTATATTTAAAAGTAGTCGCAGGTCACAGTAACTATAAAGCGGATACCAATACTTTTTAGAACATAGAAATAAGAGAGAAAAAATAATCGAGACTTAACCTGGAATAAATAATATTATTTCACTTGACGCAATACCTGATATAAACACAGGGCGTGCTCGTCGAATATGATACGGCTATGATGAAGGCGTGTTCTCTTACTGCTGTATGAGGAAACTTAAGGTCGTTCATTGAGCTATGATCGAAGTGTCTTTGTGTTATAGAATTCGTAAACAAGATAGAAGCTAAAGAACAGGAGTTATCGTTATGTAATATTACCGTAATGGGCTGGCCATATTAGATCTTAAAGAACCGACAACCGATGGACAAGAAAGCTGACTCGAGTGGCAACGATAAGCAAAATCTAGGGTGAATCCCCTCTAGATGGAATGGCGACTTGATACGAGGTGACTCAGGACCGTGTTGTTGGATATTCTTTGGGAAAGGCCTGTGTGTAGCAGAGAACTTGTGAAGGGCTGTAATAATGATGATGATATAGGTGTTAACATTTAAATTGCTGATTAAAATTGAGTTTTTATTGAAGTATTTGAAAAGCATATCTTGTCAGACATTGAGTAGTCTGAGTCAATGAAAATTTAAATACTTGATTGATTAATGAAAAAAATCCGGCCAATATAGGTATTAGCCTCTTCTGACTCCTTAATACATATGTCGCAGACAGCTCTGTTGAAGATGTAAAAAGAGCTTAATCAATTCTTTCTATTATTAGTTAAGTAAATTTGAGTGAATTATACGCAGAGTAAATATTGTAATAAAACAATCACGCTATCAAATAAATTTAAATAGCTGTTTACATGTTTATTAATCAAATTAAAACAAACTCTTAATGCTTGAAAAACAAAAACATAACAAATTATGAAAAATAATTCAACTATTTTTTGATTTAGTAACAACTAGCGATGCGCCCCGGCTTCATACGGGTGATTCCTGAATAATAATAATAATAATATTGTGCTGATGGACCGGGCACAGTCAAGGATCTTTTTGGTCGACATTACCATTCCTTATGACGAGAACCTCGTGAAAGCCGAAACAGATAAGGTGACAAAATATCTGGACCTGGCTCACGAGGTTACCGGCATGTGGGGTGGTCTGCCGACCGAAATTATTCCTGTGGTCGTTTCTGCGAATGGGTTAATCCCAGTCAGCCTCCCGGGTCATCTGAGGCGACTGGGACTCCGTGACGGACCGCTCCAGGCACAAATGCAGAAGGCGGTGCTCCTCGATACCGCCCGCATCGTCCGCCGGTTTCTTTCCCTTTCCCCCTAACCCTCGGCCGTCTGGTCTCCCCTGCCGAGGGCTTCCATCTGGTTGGGTTTTTATATATTTATGTATTTTTTATGTATTTATTTTATTTTATTCATATTTATGTATGTTTACCATTTTCATTTACAATTATATATTTATGCTGCCCAACCGGATGAGAAAACTTTATAGATACCCCAATAATAATAATAAGCTTTATTGATAATTATACAGTGAATATGTGAAGTCTCTGATTGCTGAACTAGGAATTATACCTGTATCTCAGCAATCAGTGCCAACTGTACATATTATACAGTTTAATTATAAATTATTCGAGCAACTGATGCTTAGGTTGCCAATAGAATTCGCATTTTATACGTGATATTTATATGTCACAAGTAACAAGTTATTTTAAAATCATTATAGACTGGTTATGGCGTACAGCATCTGGTAGGTTTTGTAATCCAACTGCCGAGCGTGGTTATAATGAAAAATGTTCTCCTATTGTAGGAGGAACCTAAGACCATTAGTAGTATGAGCTGATAAATTAAAAATTAAATAAAGACAAATTTACCAAGATTATCCGTATGTTCTAGCTGATATTTTTAATACACTGGAAATTATTTTACTCGAACTGTATCTTCAATAACTTTAAAATGTGCTATTTATTAAGATAAAAAATAAACATACATTTATGTAAATTCAAAGTGTAAATTAGTTACTCAAATACATTAATTTTTAGCTTCTTGTTGTGCGATGAAAGAGCAATTTGAAGTAGATGAAGTCTGTTCTGCAATAATTTTACACTACGTTTTAAATCTGTCACTTCTGCTTTCACACAAACATAGTCCATTATGTCAGGAACTTCGTATGCCATTCTTAATTTTTTGATGCCTTCTAATCTTTCTTCTAAGCTCTTAGCTTGTACTTGTATTATTTCTGTTTCCTTGTGCAAATTCTGAGTTTGTTTCTGTTTGTTCCTTACATTGTCTAGAATTTGATTCAAATATATATCTTGCTCCATTAACGCTTTCTTGTGTATAGTTAGAGTTAAATTTGCATCTCCAGTCATTTTTTTTAATTCTGCCAATTGTTGCAGTTTGTTTTCTATGATTGCCAAACATTCGTTGTTTTCTATGTTAATTTTTTCAAAATCCACTGGTCTCAAGCTTTCACTAAGTTCAGCTTTCACTTTTATTTGCCCTTTCAATTTACTGTACTGAGTGTTTAAGGTACTTGTTCGGAGTCTTAGTTTGCTAATTTTACTATCGGCTATCTTAACCCATTCATTCATATATTTGATCCAAATTTCAGCAGGAATCCTTTGTGCTATTCTATCCCATCCTTCAACTATAACTTGTTGGTTGAACGTTTCATTTGCCTTCTGTATATCATTGACTCGAACTTCAATTTCTTCCAATTGTGCTTTTAATAAAGCTTGTTGCTTAGCTGCCTTTTTCCTCATTTTCTCTAAATTTGTAACTAAAATCTCCATTTCGATGGATACCAGTTCCGATCTTTCTAGGACATTAATTTGTGGAACAGTTCCAAACGTAACAGTGCCACCAATTCTTGCTGAAGATTCTGCTCTTTTAGAAGATACTCTAGAAGGGCTCGCAAGCATTCTAGAAGGACTGGTCAAAGAATCAAAGAATACCTTTGAAGTCTGTGATTTAACGAAACTGCTAATGTTTATTGAAGAACTTCTCCTTAGTTTGCTCGCGAATTCTAACGCTTGTTGTATTCCATTTAATAAAGTCGGATCTAATCTCGTCATAGTTCGTTCAAATATCTCATTTTCTAGAGTTAATATTCGGATTTGGTGTTTTAAATCATTCACCTGTTTTAGCAATTCTTCGTCAGTTAACTCTTCAACGTCGTTGGTGATCTGACTCATTGATCTTGAAGGTTGACTAGTAAAGCTTCTGTTGACATTGGATTGTGATAATAACATAATTTTAATAAAAAATACTTCAAAATAACTGAGTAAAAGACTATAAAACAGCAAAGAAGGGAAGTCTTGCTTATATTAAAGCATAGATAATACTCATATTAAAGGGAACCATTTTGTGTTTTCACATGTTACAAGTAATGTAATTTCCTAATTGCTTAAAAATAAGGTTTATATTTGAACGAACTATTCTTCATTACTATAAAGTCAAACTTGGCGGTTGTCAAGGGCCACTAGGTAGTTACTATGGATACAGCTAACATTAATAATTAAACTTTCTTTATTCCTGTCAGTGCTTGAGGTTGAATCTCAGAGCATGAATACCTACATAATGTAATTACTCTAAGGGCTTAATAAATACTTATACAAATTTAACAAATTTGTCAAAACTTTTTCATTACAATTAATATATAAAATGAATACTTGCTTGTAAGTTTGTTTGTTCATCCTCTACGTGTTCCTATATCATTCATTATATTACGATGAGACTATGATAACTTGTGCTGGTTTAGTGCGCGCCCGTGAAATTTTCGGACACAAAAAATTGTTTTTTTCTTTGTATTTTTTGCGTTCCTACACCTTTTGTCTGATAACGAAGCTTTGGTAAGTTGACGTGCGCGCACTTTCATATGTTTTTGAAACAGACTAATATGATAACAAAAGAGGTATCGCGCATGCCAAGCATAGATTATAAATAAAGGCATCATTATATTTTAAATAGCTATTTTATATAATTGTTATCCGTTTATAAAAAATACTCTTTTAACGTTTTTTAAACGTTATGTGTAATTGTCAGCTAAAAATACAACTTAACTTAGCTAATGAAATTAATATACACTACGCGAAAAGAAACGACACTTAAGCATGTGTGCACGTAAAATCGCTTGCGGCTATGTGTCTGGATGTGTGCGAGGGCCTTGAGAGACGCGCGGGACGTGGAACGGGCCGTCGCCGACTGCCTTGGCCGAAGGCTAGTAGTCGGTTTATACAAAGGTACTCTGTGGCTAGTAGTTCGCGTCTCGTCTCTCTAATCTCACGCACTGCACGCAAGCACAGACTGACTGCGCTTTAATAATGCCTATGTTTCCCTTTGGATTTTCTAAAAAAATTATACATACGGCTACGAATTTTTGTAATTGTTATAATATATTGTATAGAAATAATAATAAAAGTTATAAAGTAATCGAAAAAGCCAAAAATATATAAGAGTAAGTAATTTTTAAAGGGTAGTAAGTAACACTGATTATTGCGTACTGAAATACTAAGTGTTGGTTAATTATTTAAGATTACCATTAATTGTCGTGCATATTTTGTTTTGTCGGAAGTTTTAATATTCCCCATATGTAAAGATATTTAATAAAATTTTATTTAAAATTAAACGTATTTTTCACTACTTAAATACATGAGTTTACATTATATAACATATACCTCCTACTGCTACCTATTTCTTTGGCACAAATCTATTATATTTCATTTCGGTTCGGTATCAACCCTAACATTACACGCTCCGGCTCATGGTCACCGGTGCTTGAACACTCACGTACAGAGAGTGTCACCGCTGTGACATAGCGGCGTTTGAGAATTTACTAACTTCAGTTATGCCGTGGATATCGTAATAGGCGATAGAACGAAATTGAAAGAGAAGATGGGTTGGATGGGATTCCTGATAACAACTTGATAATTATAATTAAAAAACTGCGGTTGCCAAATATGTAGCACTGTGGCAAATATTTACACATGAGATCAATATATGGGGGAGGCCTATGCTTTTCATAGGCTATAGTGATCATGAAAAAATCGAGTAAGATGTCATATGGATTATAGTAATAATATGGCCGTAATGACTACCTTCGTCCATTTCATCTTAAAACTGTTAGGTTTAAATTTTTAACCCGATGATAGAAACAGAAAATATGTCTGTCAGGAATGGCTTTTCAAATGGACACAATGATGAAATTTTTAATTAATATTTTTTAAATTGAGTTATTTCATCCTTTTATTTCAGTCATGAACGCAAGAAGATGTATTGGGAGCAACTGGAGCTCAGGTGCAGATCTCTTTACCGTCCGCCTACTGGCCAAGCTGTGGCCACAGCTGGGAGACCTGTACCAGTGGTTAGTTGAATTTTATTTTTGAAAATCTTAGTATTATATGCGAGTGCTTAACTACTATCCCCACTCACGGTAAGTGCGGACGTGGCCGGAGATAGCAAAGCGCACTGACCACAGGTGCTAATTCACATTGTTAAAAAAAGAGAAAGAAAAGATACGGTATTTAGCCGTAAAAGTTGATCACCAAAACTACGTCTAACTGGCGTATTAACATTTATTTGCTACTGGCTGTTCCCCCGCGACTTCACCCGCGTGTTATTTGGGGTTTTAATTTTTTGGCGCGTAACCCTAAATCTTTTTCTAAAATAATAGTAGCCTAAGTTACTCCTTGTGACATCAGCTATCTGTCAGTGAAAATCCCGTCAAAATCGGTCCAGCCGTTCCGGAGATTAGCCGGAACAAACAGATAGACAGACAGACGGACAGACAGACAGACAAAAACCTTAAAAATTGTATTTTTGTTATTAGTATCGTATATACTTTCATATGCATTTTGTAAAAGGCCGTAATTTTGACATTACAAACAGACACTTCAATTTTATTTATTTGTATAAATGTATAAATTGTTTAGTACCTAGTGAGTAGAGTTAGTAGTCTATAATACATTTTAAATATATCAATCATGCAGGAAAAATAAAAAAGTCAGAAACATCCAAACCGGAAACAATTATTTTTAGGCCATACAAACACTTGCACCATTCGGGATTTGAGCCCGCAGCTCGAAGAGTCGTAGTCAAGCAATGAACCGTTGCGCTTTTAAAATCGAATCGGAACTGTCGAAAAAAAATTATGCCGTGTGGTGGCGGCGTAAGGGAATCCAGAACTTCATTTCGTCCGTAGTTGTCATAAGAGACCACTATGGAAAATGTCAAAAAAATCTTTTGATTTACCGTACGTAGTTGTCATAAAGGAGAACTATGGGTAATTTGAAAAAAATTTAGACTTACAATAGATGGCGTTATAACTATTTCGTTTGCGTCAAACTAAAAATACCAGCGACGAGCAGCGGCGGTAATGGTGCCAGACGTCTGGCACTACTAACCATAGTGATTTATATACTGTTTCGGCATTGCGATCCTCGATCCGGATGCTGAATGTGACAATGAAAGTAAATTCTCCCTATAATGGCCTATGTACAGCCGCGGACGTTTACGGGCGGACAAAGAATAAGATGATGAAATAAAAATCACCGGTCCCCTCACTGGTCTGTAAGAATTCTCTATTTATATTAAAACATGGTAAATGTTTCTTTGCAGAATAATTGCAGCTGCTGTGCTCAATGTCACACCGCGCAGCCGGCTTGGGATTTCAGCTTGCAACATCGATTTTGGGCGCCAGGTACGTACCATTTGTATACTATTTTTATAATACTCACCTAGGCACGGTAGCTCAAGGGCTACGCGCTAAAACGAGTGAAATTCTTAGTTACAGTTTGAACTGCTTATTTACTACGAGTTGCGCTAATTGAATACATCGTTACAAAACTGGTTGTCTTAAACATTAAAATATTTCGAGAGCGTTTAAAGTCTACTGACATGTACCTATTGAGGCAGTGCTGTGGACTTTTCCCCACCATCGAAAGTCAAAACCCTCACAGAAATAAGAGAAGGCATGTGATCAGCTGTGTATAAATATGTAGAATGATAATCTACTTTTTATGTCTTATCATGAATAAATCAACATTGAAAATTACCGTATGCATTTTTTGCATGCCTTAAGCGTAAAGCGCGTAGGTATCTTCTACTAGCACCTATAAATCAAGATTCCAGCGTTTTGTCGCATGAAATCGTATATAAAAATCATATTGAACATATAAATGATATAAAAAGCATATTGTCAGCAAGATAAATTATAGTTAAACAAAGTAATTTTTTTTAAAATTGAATGATTGCTATTTTTATATAAAAAAGTGGTTTTAGTGGCTTCGTTATGGTGTAGATTTATGAATTTCGCACGGAGGGGTAAACACGATATCTTTTGAAAATATCAATTGTTTAACTCAATCTATTTTTTAAACGATTCGTCTATTATGTGGAAAGCCATGGGAATGTAAATATCAGTTTAATTTTGTTTTGTTTAGTTATAATTAATTTTTTCGGCTAAGAAATGCCAATTTTGCGGTGATTTGAGCAGCCTTGTAATAAGTTATTTTACTAAACTCACTTTGCCTCACAGCACACTCGCTCTTCGGGTTCTACAGTAATCTGTGTCGGGCTCGGCCGCCGTCGTGAGTGGATTACTGTATTGTTTGCTTACAGCAGCGGTAATAGGCAGCAAAAATATCGATCGCTATAGAAATACAAAATATTCTACTTGACGAAGGTTATTATTTTTATAATCACAGATTTTAATTACAATATTTTGTTTCGCTAAAAGTACGTAGGATTTATATATAAATATACTTATACGTCTTAGACTTTATGGAGTAACCTGAAGGTGTACTTCGGTATCTGCTACTGGAACTCCTCGAAGAGTAGAACTAGATGTGCCGAGTTTGGCCTCGTGTTGTTAGTTATGATGAGACCTTACCTCCGGACTTGATAGAGTGACATGAAGGTGTACTTCGTTGAATGCTACTGGAACTCCTCGAAGAGTTGTAGTAGGTGTGCCGAGTTTGCCCTCGTATTGTTAGTTATGATAAGACCTTACCTTCGGACTTAGTAGTGACCTGAAGGTGTACTTTGGTGAATGCTACTGGAACTCCTTGAAGAGTAGAACTAGGTGTGCCAAGTTTGGCCTCGTTTTGTTAGTTATGATGAGATCTTACCTCCGGACTTGATAGAGTGACCTGTAGGTGTACTTCAGTGAATGCCACTGAAACTCCTCAAAGAGTTAGACCTCGTTTTGTTAGTTATGATGAGACCTTACCTCCGGACTTAGTAGTGACCTGAAGGTGTACTTTGGTGAGTGCTACTGGAACTCCTTAAAGAGTTAGAACCTCAAAGAGTTATACCTCGTTTTGTTTGTTATGATAAGACCTTACCTCCGGACTTAGTAGTGACCTGAAGGTGTACTTTGGTGAGTGCTACTGGATGCTGGAACTCCTAGAAGAGTAGAACTAGGTGTACGTAGTTTGACCTCTTTTTGTTAGTTATGATGAGATCTTACCTCCGGACTTGATAAAGTGACCTGAAGGTGTACTTCAGTGAATGCTACGGGAACTTCTCGAAGAATTAGAACTAAGTGTGCCGAGTTTGACTTCGTTTTGTTAGTTATAAATAGACTTTTCCTCTGGACTTGATGGAGTAACTTGAAGGTGTACTTCGGTGACTGCTACTGGAACTCTTTGACGAATAGAATTACAATTTACAATGTTTTTTTTAATTTTATACATAAATTGCACATGTAGTAAAGAAATAAAAATAATTATTATTTGTGATTTTATTGTATTGCGTCTATGCTTTAAATCAACGGTTAAAAGTAGGTCCTTTATTCCCGGAAACAGAAGGTTTAATTATCGCAATATAGAACCAAGTTACAAATACTCGCAATTACAGGAAATATCATTAAAGATCCCATCCCACTGTACTAGATGATATTTATAATTATTCAGTTTTTAATTAGAACATGTTCCCATCTCGCTCAAACCAATTACTAACAGGCATAGCCATACATCAAACTCTTGCTATTCGAGATAACCTCATACAAGTACCCACTAATATACCTTATTATAAATACACCCCAAGTGCAGTTTTAGAAAATACAACACATATGTAATTTGTACTACGTCCTATTCTAACTGACAGAATAATCAATTACAATAGATTTTTTTACATTACACTACAAGATAAAATTAATGAAATCACCTACCTCAATGGTATACAAAGCCTTACACACATAATATTACAAAAATAATAACTAAAAATAAAGACATACGCGTGATTATTTGTGATTGATGATGATAATTATACTAGTGGTTCGATGATGATTGAATTACTTAAATATTTTATGTTCCATTAGTACAAAATAGTGATAATGTACAGTTTGTCTTGAATTTTAAATATTGTTATTATTTTACATCGACCCCTATTTATTATATTTATTTCTTTTCAGGTCGTATAGGAAATCTATACTCACCAAATCCTGGAACTGCACGGAAAACTTCTCCGTGGAGCTGGTTTCCTTGGCCACGAAGCAACAGTCAAAAGTAAGTTAAATAGATATAGAAATTTAAATATATATATATATATATATATATATATATATATATATATATATATATATATATTTAAACAGTGTGGTCTGTGTTTCTTCTCATGAATATGACAAGAGTCGGCGACTTTCGATAAATTTGTGATAAATTGTCTATTATAGTCTCTGAGTTACTGGCAGTGCTCTGTCTGCAGTAGATTTTTTACGGGTAGATGTTGACGGTTTTGATAATTGATTAATCGCTTACGATTTTGCTAGCCGGTGCCGATTAAGCCATCTGTTTAATAATGGACATCAAATAAATTTGTTTTGTTAGGGTTAGGGAAACGCTTCAAATAGGCCGTAAAGTTTAATTTTTAATAAGATGATTTGTACCTTCATCGTTGTAAGATAAGGTTGATTTTAGTAAGATATTTTTTATCGTAGGTATTTCATTCTGTTGTAATTAATCATATAATATGCTTTAATCATATAATATTCTTTAAATAATAAAATATATATATTTTACTTTACAGTTCCCGATGTCGCATGGGTGGCGTTCCACAATCAGGTGACAGTGCTTATGGATTCTGTGAAAGCGATCCAACACCTCAAAATGCAACACAACCATACGACGAACGTTCTTACCCAACAAATTTTAGTCAACCATTTCAACGCGGACAAAATTCAGGCAACTTCTCACAAAACCCATCAAATTTTGCACAAAGCTCGGGAAATTTCACTCAAAACCCCAATTTTGTACAAAACCCGGCCAATTTTGTTCAAAGCCAGGGTAATTTTGGGCAAACTGGTGGGTTTACGCAGGGGTATCAAGAGGGTTTTGGAGAGGCTAGTGGAAGTTTTGATGCTCAGACTGGAGTTTGGGGACCTCCGCCTCCATACAGTCCGCAAGGAAGGAGTGGTAGCAGGTTTGTGTACTTTATTTTATGAAATCATATGTCTATCGAATTATTTATTAAAAAATATTACAATTATTTTCGTTTTAATTTACCTTTTAAATTTTTTTCAGGCATCATCTTCATCACCAAGATCCTGCAGCTGCGACACTTCTTCATCATCATCATATAGATGTTCATCGGAATTCTATGCCCATACATGAACATGCAAATATACCATTACAGTCACATACATGCGCCCGTAGTTCCTATCTCATGCATGCGAACGCCCAGATGAACCCCGATGTGACTCGATTGAATCCAGAAATAAGTCGATTAAATCCGGAAATAAGTCGGTTGAATCCAGAAATGAACCGTTTGAATCCAGAAATGAACCGTTTGAATCCAGAAATGAACCGTTTGAATCCAGAAATGAGTCGTTTGAATCCCGAAATTAGCCGTTTGAATCCTGAATTGAATCATTTGAATCATATGTACCCGACAGATGCAAATGAAATTGCTCGTTTGCAGGCTGAAATGGCTCACTTAGGTCCCGAACGATTTAGTACATTACGAGGTCATTTGGTTCCGTACAGAGGCTGTCCGAGGTCTTTGGGGATGAGTGCTGGAAATTTACATAGAGATTGTCGAGTAGATGATAACGTCGCAATAGAATGTTTACATCAGAAGAGTGCTAGCAAAGGTATGGTATGGTGTAGGTTTCTGTTTAGTTTTTATCTTTTTAATTTGTTTAACAATGTTGAAAGTCTTTTTCATTAAGATATAAATAACTACTGCCTCCACGGTACAAGAAAAAAATATAATATGTCCCACACACGATTATTTAAATAAAAAATATAATGATAAAAATACACACAATAAAAATACTACAGTCTTATATTACAGTTCGTGATTTTTATTTATTTTCAGTGTCCGATCAAAGTAGTGATTCATGTCAAAAACAAGGCAAAGAAAATTTGGGTTTCCAAAACGACAAGCATTCTCCAATAAGGTATGCATCATTTTACTGCACTATATTTAAAATTTATCTGACAGTTCAGTTAGAAACTAGAGAATTAACAATTTTCGTAAGATATATAAAAAAAAATCTAGGAGGAGTAGTAGCTCAGAGCCGTCATCAATAAAATTGTTAGTTGATATTTTAAGACCACGTGCGGTATTAAACCTGCATGTCTAAGAAATGAAAAATATTTAAACAAACGTGTAGAACGTCAACACTCATTGGGATAGCGGTCATGATTCTTCTAGAATTGTGAATAGCTGCTTAAAACTGATAAAGCTTAGCATAACGCTTATATACGCACACTGAATACAAAAACTTTTTCTCATAAAACGCTTTTTCTTTTCTGATTCTTACACCTTGACCTTTTCTAAAGCATTTAGTTTAAAAACACGTGTGCTTTTGTATTATGACTTTTTAGGACGGTATTATGTGTTGTCTGCGGTCCGTGGTTTAACATATTCCTAAAATAATATTGTTATTTAACCTGACTACAAAGTGCTGTTATTTATATAAACTCGCATTATTTGTAAACTATAAATTAAACTTAAAAAAAATACATGACTTACATATACAAAACAAAATACTTTTCGTCTCAACATGTTTTACGCTTTTCCTGAAAAACTCCGTTAAATTAAATAGCTTAGCGTTTAAGCAGCTACTAATGCTGATGAAAAAGAAGCGTGTGCCCAGCAGTGAATCTTATATCCTCTGTTTCTTTACTTTTTTACGTGAAATTGTTACAAGAGAAGTAACTAAAATAATTTCATCCACAGGGCATCAATGCAAGACTGTCGAGTGGCCAATCAAAACGCGGAATCGGAAGTATATTTCGCAGATGAGTCCAGTTGCTGTAATGTTTCTGTCAAGGTAAACTTTAAAAAATTATATGAAAGGTGTTTTAATTTAATATTAATTCATCTATTTGATTATTAAAATTACTTACCGCGATTAACGTCCTCATTTTATTAATTAAGTACATCTTAAAAATATTAATTATATTGATATCTGCTTTATGAATTTACGATTTAAAATAAAAAAAAACATAGACATATGGTCTTAGAGAGCAACCACACTATAACTCTAAAGTCATTGCAGTACTGATTTTGTTTTAGTAAGTTTCACAGAGTTGTGCGATATCGCATTTGACACTAGACAAGCTAAGTTTGTTGCGTTGCCTCTATAGTGTTGCACTGCACCGAATTTCATGTCTTCAACTTTATAATGTTATTTTATATCATATTGTAAATAAATGTTTAGCATTGTATAATAAGTTTCTCCACATTTATTCATGAATGAAATATAACAATGTGCAATAGTAACTGTGATTCTGGTCCCTATGATATATAGAACTATTTGAAATGAGCACAAACTGATAAGAAGTGGAAAGGAGTAATATCCAAAGATTTCGATGTAATCTGAATCTAAAAAACATGTAACCGTCATGTTACAAAACGTCGCCTATTGGTTTTATATAACTAATTGTATTTCATTGTTATATACTATATTATACAATTGTGTGTCTTTTCAGGCCGATTGCTGTTTAAATCCAAACGTTTCGGCTCTTGTTGGAACCATAGAGAATCATCCTGAATCTACATCAGAATCTGACACCGGATCATTTACACTCACTCGACAACAGCGTCCCCAACCGCAAGTCGGATCAAAACGGCGGCCGAGACAAAATGAAAAACACATAAAGAATCAGGAAAAGATAAGACAAGATCTTAATAGTTCAATTAGATTAACTGAACAACAAATTGAACATTTAAACAGCTCTATGAGAATGAGTGAGAGAATGTGCGATAGAATGAATGATTCTAGAATCAGTGACAGAATAAACGATTCGCGTATCAGTGAAAGAATAAACGATTCGCGCATTAGCGACAGAATGAACGATTCGCGTATTAGCGATAGAATAAACGATTCGCGTATTAGTGACAGAATGAGCGAAGTTCGCATGAGTGAGCGTATTAATAATTCTAGAGATCGGTTGAATGACTCTAGAATAGATAGAGATCGCCTTAATGATTCTAGAATTGATAGAATGAATGAACCACGTGACCGCATGAATGACTCTAGGGTAGATCGTATTGATTCAAGAGATCGCCTAAACGATTCTAGAGTCGATAGAGTAGACTCCAGGGATCGCTTGAACGATTCAAGAATTGATAGAATGAGCGAATGTAGATTAGAGGATCGAAAAATTACAGATTTGAATGCCAGTATACGTATAGAGGGTAGCCCTAAAATGCGTACTCACATTAGTCCTTTACGTATGCCTAGAACTAGTCCTAAAAACTTGCCTAAAGAGCATCTAAGACAGTCTAGTTCAGATTCAAGTAAGCCTGAATTCTTTGTTCCTCCACCGCCGCCAGCTCATTCACCGTTATCACCCAATACAGAAGAGTCACTTTTATCTGATGATGATGATAGAAGAAAAGATATAGTATACTCAAACGAACCAGAGACATCTAAATGCTTGGGTCCGGATTCTCAATACGAACCAGTTAGGGAGACAAAAGAAGAAATCCTTAAGACTAATCATCACCATTGCTATAGTGACACTAACACAATGGATTCTGGGTGGCAGAGTGGTTCGGAGAAACAGGTTACTGATTAAAAATATTTCATTTATATTTTCTACGACTAATATCTTTATTCTTTCTATGATTTTCCCTGTTTTGTAAAAGAAATACATTTTTCCTGTAAATTATTATCTTTATAAATTAAGTTTAATGATGTAGTTCTAGAAAAAAATTACGTTTCTTCATATGAGATTGAAATTGTTAAACCTAGTATCAATAAATAATGTGTTCCACTATGAATAAATTCTAAACATTGCGCCAGTTTTAAATTTACTATAGTTGTAATTAAAAACAATTTTTACTCTGAGTAACGTGTGTAAAGATTTTAAAATATTTAAATATTGGATGTTCAATTCAAAGGAGGAATTAATATAAAAATTAAAATAAATAAAATAACGCATTCTTTGACTCTGTAAGGACCACAGTTAATAGGTAACTGTTTTTAATAAACGTTAATTGAAACAAATCTGAACAAAATAACTGCGTTGTCAATATAATTCGTCACATGTTCTCGATTCTTTTTAATTTCTTAGACATGCCAGTTTCTTCACAATAATTTTGTTTAGTGAGCACGTAGGAAATCAGAACCTAAAATTGTAATTAACAATATTATTACTACTGGCGGGTATCGAACTTAGTTTGCTCTTAGATTTGAGCGCTTACACCTATCTGAGCTACCGCTGATTGGGCTGTAACCAAACAAAATGTTTAGCAAACACAATAAAATCACTTTAAATATATTCTGTCGCGCATAAGAGGACAATAATGTAGCAAACGGGAGTGAAATAATATAAATGATATGTGAATGCGAAAAACTAGAAACAATCGTCTTTAGAACAGATGTTAAAGCTACTTTTAAATTGAAATACAAATAGTTTAGAAATATTTTTTGTATAATAACTTTTTCTTGTCATCCATCATTCAGATGCCATCGAAAAACTATTAATTTACGAGAATATCGAAACTAGCTCTCTGTTAGAAGATTTAATGTTTGTATAATGGGAATTAATACTCATGTTATAATTATAAGTGAAAATACTACACACTGAATTCCTCTAATATCGATAACGCACAAACTAACGTATTTTCATGCAGCGCATGTGTAAATATTTCCTGTTTACACTGTGATCTTAAACGTAAGGTTAAGTAAGAAATACGAGTATTTTTATTAAGCAGGACTTTGTTTATCTTATGTGTTTATCTTTGTTAGTCTTAACTTTTTGTCAATGTGTGTGTATGTCACGAATGAATTTTAATATTAACACGTTAAAATCCATATGCGACATTCATTTTCAGGTGATCAGGGGGTACCTAGTATAAATCAAATAATTGCATTTTGTTATTAAAATAATATTTTAGGTTTCTAATTTTAGTGTGTTGGTGATTTAAATGGATTGGCTTATTAAATGTAATGTGTTCGTTACCTGTTTACTTTATAAAATTTTAAAATATAGTGTGATAATTTATAAGTATTTAAACAACTTTTAACTGTTGTACACAATTAACCTTGCCATTATGATGTTAATAACATGTAATTTTGTAGGTAAGTATTGTGCCAAGTAGTGACTTCTTAATCTTTTATATTCTAATGACGAAACTAGGTGCGTATATTTTGTATTACATTAAACTTTACTTTTATGAGTTTGTAATGTTTTAAAAAGTGTAACTTGTTATTTCTGTTGGTTATAAATACAGTAAAATACAAATAAAATAATAATAATGGGATTTGGATAATGAAAAGAGGAGTATTAAAATATTTTACTATACCAACGAGATGTAAGTATTTGTAAAATATTTTGTTTTTTCTCGAAGTTTTGAAACGATGGCGACGTTCTCAGTAACCTCAGTTAAAGTGATGTGTGACTTTAATAAATTTTTTTTTCAAAGTTACACTAATCCTATCAACTACTAAATTGAAATACGAACACTCCAAAAGGGATGTTTGTTCATAACGTTAAAAATCAAATGCTTGGTGGGTATTGCTTGTGATGTTTCTCCGAATGTACAATGATTCGTAGGTAATACAGGTAAGGTTTATAAACACGCGGGCAATGGCCTCTTTCAAGAAATGCTGGGTACAAAATTATTCACGTCTGAAGACCTGAATAATTTTGTAAACAGCGCCGCAGAGACTACGAAAAAATTAATCTACGAAGTCAGGGTAAATGAGCAGACTCTTAAAGAATCAAAATGCAGATGCGTTGTCACCCGTGAGGACTAAGATGGAATGCTTCTTTTCCAGTAAAAAGGGTCTCCAGTTCTCTACACTCACCATATGAAATCGAGCAGGGTTAAGCTGCTATTTTATGCTGATATTCTGTGAGTTATTCATTTGTATATTTTGTGAACTAGTTATTGTTTTATATTTGAATACAACTAAACAGTTATGTCTCAGTATGTTTTTTTTTTAAATAGGTTGTAATTATTGTTTTGTAAAGGATAGTTATAATATTTTTAAAACTAACTCAGACCAACAATGAAAGAAAACACTTCATTAGAAGTAATGCAAAAACTAATAGCATCACTTGAACTGTTCGTCTAATCTTCCTTTGTTTCTTTGTTGATCTGAGGTGTGAAATTATAAGTTCTTTTAGTTATTGCCTTAAATACAAAACGAAATGTATCGGAATTGAACATATAGCAATAAATCGTTTTAATACTAAAACGATGATTGTCAACTTAAAGTTAGAAATATCTTTGTGATGTATATTTTATTCTGACGATACTATTGTAATGTTTATTTTCTTGTATGTAATAATGTTAGATTGATCAGTTACAATGGTTCTATTAAAAGACTGAAATCTTTGATTTGTTTAATTTAAACTAAATCAATAAGTAATTTATCATCTTTAAATATGGCATTGCATTTCCAAGTGTCTCCTCTAGTTACCTGTAAAGCCCCGCTCCCTGAGGTTAGAATTCAAATAAATTTCTGGGGTAAAGTTTACTATTGTGAGCGTGCCATTTGTAATATAAAAAAAAAAACAGAGGCAGTCATAAGGAGACAGAAGTGAAAACCTAAAGTTATATGCGTACAAGTCGCGGCACGTAAGTCTAGTGCTGAACGAAACGTGGAGATAAGCCAATCAGCGCGATTTAAGCGCAATAGCAGTCAAGCCTAGACTTTTGTGCCGCTACTTATATATATATATATATATATATATATATATATATATATGTATCCAGGTCCAAAGAGGAGGTGTTGTAATTCGATTTCACTAGGTAACAACGCGTGATAATTTGCGGGGTGGGGGGATGTTAAGCCCCGCTCACTTTACACTATCTACATCTACCGATAAATAGTAAAACTATTCGAATCGTTCCATATGGATGTTGCAATGTAGTTTAGCTACCTTGACGATAGATGGCAGCCTGTTCAAAAAATGATTATAAACTATAAAATTAATATTTTGGCGATAAAAGTTCCTATATGTCTGAATACAAAACAAATTTCAGCACCTTCGTATGATTATTTTACCAATACTGAGCTCTACGTATATTTTTAGTTCACATGACACAAAGTGTCGCCATCTAGTGTCAAATATATTTAATTATATTTGAAAGTCAACGCATAGAGACTTTTCTAGAACTATTTTAATAAATTAGGTGTAAAATTACTTATAAATGAAATGTGATGCCATCCATAGCATCAGAGCGTCTATCTGAGTAGTTTTTACACGATAAAACACAACACTTCATCCTTTTCTTCTTAATACTACGAAAATACACCAATTTGTGATTTTCAACACATAAGCGCACAGGACGAATGCTGACAGTATACTAAATAAAGCCACGCCCACTATGATGCCGCCAGGACCTACTTAGAATCACAGTGTACAGTTGCTTATGCCGTCTCCTCTTTGTATTTGCTTCATGCTCAGGCTTTTATACCACGCGTTGCTAGTCTGGCGTAAGCCATGCGTAGTAGACATGCTAGTGACGTGAAACCATAAGTTTTCCCCCACCAAAAATCGCTCAACGCGGCTAAAGAAGTTTTCAATTCACAAATATAATTTCGTTAATTTCAATATAGCAAGTGTCGACTGCCGCCCATGAACAACTGCAATACCAGGGGGATCGCAGGTGCATTGCCGGCCTTTTAAAAAAGACTACGCTCTTTTCTTGAAGGTCCGTAAGTCGTATCGGTTCAGAAAAATCGCTGGTGGTAGCCAATTTCACAAGGAAGCTGCTTGCCTTCTTTTGTTGAATAAGCACACTAATCGGGGGATTTTGCATTAGATAGTTGCTTGCGACAAAAACTCAATCAAAATGTGTGATAATTTTCCTAGTTATGTTCTTCGTTCTTTACAATAGTTAGGCCCAGAGGAAAAAGACAAGCTATGGTCCAAGCACAAGTTGAGTTGAGTCAAAATCTGCTACGACTACTTGTGGTATGGATCTTTACAGTTTTTTCTTATTTAGTCACGATGACCAGTGCCTAATTTGAGTTCTGACAGCCCTAAGCTAACTGTGAATATGCGGCCCCCACCGGCCCCCCACCGACCTGTTCTGTCTTTGCCTGCTCAGCCCACGCATATATTTACTATATTTTTATATTTTACTGGATTCCCACCCCGTGGTATCGCCCACATTAAATCAAATTTTCCTGATAGTGAGTGTGTGACCATCGCCCATAAACAACTGTAACACCAGGGAAATTTCAGGTGCGTTTCGGGCCTTTATAAAAGGAGTTGCTTGTAGGTCTCTAAGTTGTATCGGTCCGAAAAAGTCGCCGGTGGTAGCCTAGTAAATTCCACAGTCGTGGTGGAACGCTCAGCATCCGTATGCTGTGGATAATACCGTAAGCTTAGTCCCGATGTGCGTTGGTAGAAGTAAATCGAATCAAACAGAAATAAATCGGTCACAAAGCTTTTTAGAGGCCAATTCAGCCTTCCCTTCTAAGTGAGCGCAAAACTGCACATTATTCGATATGATAATGCCGAGGATTCCGACACTAGCTGAGGCAGCATGGGGAGTGACTTGAAATTAACGAGATACGACGAAGGGGTTCTTTTTAGCGGTAAACGCGCAAATCTGTGTTTTCTGAAGTTTAAACTGGACTAGAGTCGTCCATTATCCGATTTTTTTTATTAAAGACTCTGATTCAGACAAGCTTGTTCCGTTATTCGATGAGGTGTTCCAGGGAAATATTAGCACGGCCGGTGTAAAAAGCATCGCCCGTGTTACAACCAGTAACAACAACATATAATTTATATACAGAAGAAACAACGTAGGTGATAGCACGCAGTCTTGTGGAAGATTAGCATTAATAGGCTCGTAGTCGCAGTATGCACTGTCTATTATGACTTTGTTGCTCCGATCTGTAAAAAAAACTGATGATCCAATTGCATAAATTCTTGGGAAGTCTATAGGAAGGAAGCTTTTAAAGAGCCGCTTAGTGTCAAAGGCCATCGAAGGCTTTCGCTATGTCCAAAGTAACGACCAAGGTCTCTTGTCTTGGACTGCCTGTTGTTTAATGGGTCTGAGCGGTCACCTTTTAAGGGATCGAGTGCAACAAAGCTGTCTTACGTAAGTTCAGGGTTACGCCTAGGCAGTAGAAGTACCGAAAATCGCGTTAAAACTAGTGCAAACCCCGGAGCAGCCGTCTTCAGCACAATGGGAGGGACTCCATCAGACCCGTCCGACTTGTTGACGTCCAGGAAGAGCAATCACATCGCGGGATGGTTATTTATTTATTTATATGTGTAATGATGGACGGTGTAGATACCCCGTCATCGAGAGTCGAGTTAGGCTCAAAAAAAGAACCATTTGTGGCATGGGCCAGTGAGTCGTTCTCCCTGTGTAGAGATGGAACAGATGGCTGACAGAATTTCCATTGGACAGTCTTAGCTAAAACACTTAAATATAAATATAGGTAGATAAGAGAGCTGTTTATAATCTTTGAATCACGTCCAGTTAACGGAAGACGAAAGGTAACAAATAATTCCAGTTATTTTTACAATCTATTTATTTATTTGGTACCAAGAATAAAGAAAGAGCAACAAGAAGAATACTTGGGACACTATTATTTATTGAGAATATTATACAAAATTTTATTACGAGTATGTACATAAGTGGTCCTTGCAAAGGCAAACTCAGCGCCCTCTCGAACCTTGCATCCTAGGGTATATAAGGCCCTGATGATAATTACTGTATTAGGGCATATTATCAAGAAAAGAGGTAAGAGGTATATTTTCAAATAATTAAGATATATTAATTGGTGTTCTACCTTAGGTATTTCTCCTATTTACGAAAATACAATCATTAAAATTGTGCAGTTAGAAGTGCTGATAGATCACGTGCTGAGTGGTGAAGGAAAACATCGTAAGGTATAGCTAAAGATTTTATTTTGTTTAACATTAACATTAACATATAAAAGTAAACAAAAGTATAGTCATTCTGAGAGGCTTTTAGGGCAAGGAAATGTCCGCCGCGCTGCCCTAATGCCTCTTCTGTCTTCTGACTTCACATGTCAATGTTTTTCTTCACCGTCGAGCACATGGTAAATCGGCACTTAAAATTGCAATTAACAATTTCATTGGTGTCGGCGGAGATCGTATCTTTGTGAAATTTCTCCAAATACCTTTTGTAAACCATATATATATTATCGGATATATATACTAGCTGGCCAGGCAGACGTTGTTCTGCCTTTAGCGGCGAACCTTTGTACTATAAAAACCCTTAAATTCGCAATAAAAAATACCGAGGGTCACTTATCGGGATAAAAACTATCCTATCTCTCAAGTTGGACCAAACTGCACACAGTCATTAATTTAAAATAAAAGAAACTTTAATAACCTTTTTAATTTTTATTTATTTTGTTAACTATCTAGTAGAAAAATCCTTATATCTAGCGGGAAATTATAAAGATCTTTACGTATTACGAAGCACCATAGTAGGGAAATTTCCGAATACAATATATTAAGTAAAGAATTTAAAAAAAATGTAGATCAAAATTGACAAAGATATTCTATTAATTTACATACAGAAATATTATATCCCTATACAAAATTTACTGGAATTTTAAAAATATCAGGATCTTATAGCTACTCACCTTGGTTTACAATTCTAAGATTATGTTATAATGGTCATATTTTCTAGAAAATGAGATTTATTTGTTTTTACACTTAAAAACCTTAATCTGCGTCATATTATACAAAAGTAAGAAAAGTCTCGTATAAATTTTTTTGAAAAAGAGTACGTTTTCCTTATTGTATAAACCCATTTACTTGTAAGACTAGCGGACTTAAATGCCAAAGCATTAGTTTCATTATTATTTTATTAATAATTAAGTAGGCACTAGAAACTACGGTATTCTTAACTAAAATTAAATCACTTTCACTTATATCTAAGTATTGTTAATTGTCAGTAATTGAGTTGGTAAACGTAACGGCAGTTTGTTAAAAAATAATCTACAGTAAGTTACAATGAATATTATTGAATATTATTTCATTCAGAGAAAAATTATTTATATGTTTTTTTTTAATACTTCTAAATATAGATGGTACACAAAATATTGTATATTCATTTAGCTTTATTCTATTAAATATTTATGGTATGTATTTTGTTTATTTGACTTTAATAATGTTTTTAATATTATAGAAATAATGCTTTTTAAATTTGGTCGCACTCGTATTTTACTAATACTACTCGTAATTTTTATTCATCAAAGAGTAAAATAAATTTCTTTAAAAAAAACATCTATCATAAGTCCGTATGAGTTAAAATTAAATCTTCCTCACTGAAATCCACTCTACAAAATCAGTACAACATCCTTACTCTTTGTATTAGTTCATTCCAATAAGAATAAGTAAATGTGGATAAATAAGTATATCATGACCAGGGAAAACGTTTTCATTACACATTTATAATAATTATATACCATTGATTTTAGAAATGTATTAATTTTGACGAAACCAGATTTGATTTAAAACGTGAAGAAAATTCACTGTTTTTTATCTATGTTTATTCATATAATAAACAAACTAAACGAAATCCTAATAAAATAACGTTAATGTTAAACTGACGAGTAGCAGTACACAGCTGTGCGTGAACACACTGGAGGTGTTTTGTTCAAGTGGTGAGACGTACATCACTAGCCTGTTGTCCTTTGTGTGCTCGGCAACGGTTGCTGGAGTTCCGTCGGCGTCACCGAGTTTCTGATTTGCCACTTTCAGATTCTTCAGAAGTGAGAGGTATTCTGGAATGAAAATATGACAAAAAAATTTAAATAAAATCAAGTCTGCAGTCTGTGAACACGTACAGGATCGCCCCTGCCACTACATCAGATTTGATAAGCCACAAATCCTTGATAAAGAACACCGATTCCCTCCAAGGATGTTTCGCGAGGCTATTGAAATCAAAAAAGATCCTGATTTTAATAGAAAAGATGGCTGGGTGCTACCATCTGCTTGGGATTCTATAATAATTAATAAAATTAAATCCCAACCCAAGTATACAACTACAAGACTTCAAGACACTATAAGTTCATACTACGTAGATCGGAACAAAAATTATTAAATTTTATCTAGAGGTAGCCGTGGTTAACTATGATATTGGGACGTCAAACACCTCAGTCACCATAACCATGGGTGCTGTAAGTGCTCGAAACGTCGGGTATATAACATAAGTTAACATACGTGATTAAATCCGTAAAAACTAGTTTTAATCAAATAGTTAAGATATTTTAAAATTTTTGACAAGTAATCAATTTTATTACGTAATTCTTGGCAAATTCTAGATAATCAGTGGGAGAATGAAAGCTCTGTAATTAATAAAAGTAAGAAAGTAAAGTAACAGCCTTTATACGTCCCACTGCTGGGCATAAGCTTCCTCTCATTTCTGAGGGTTTTAGGGCAAGAAAAAGTCCGACACGCTGCACCAATGCGTGTTTTGGCGAACATTTTTTTTATAGAATAAGGCTGACAAACGAACACACAGTCCTCCTGCTGGTGGACTGTGTGTTCGTTTGTCAAGTGGTTGCTGTGGCCCATGGACATCTACATCTATCTTCGTTTGCAAATTAAAATGCAGATGCGTTGTCACCCGTGAGGATTAAGATAGAATGCCTCTTATCCAGTAAAAAGGGTCTCCGGTTCTATACACTCACCATACGAAACACAGCAACATTAAGCTGCTTTGTACGCTGGTATTCTGTGACAGCGTGGTCCTTTCTTGGTCGAGCCGACCCATTTGTACTACAACTATACTATTAATATAGCTGCAGCATGGCTCTACAACGTTTAAAAATATTTCGAAGAACTTCACATTTCTTCGAAATATTTTATTCCTTATTTCTCAAACATGCAGGTTTCGTTACCTTCACCGCCGAGCATGCGGTAAATTAGCACTTAAGATTGCAACTAACAATTTCGTTGGTGGCAGCGGGGATCGAATCCGGATTTAGCAAAGCCGTGGTAGCCTAGCCTAGCCGCTGAGCTACCACGGCTCTGTGTATTTACTAACTAGTGGTGAGTATGGGTAAATTTTTCAGGCTATGCACATCAGATATGTTATAATGTGCTGAACGGATTACTTTAGGTGGAAGGATCCGTTTTCTGCCTAGGGGTACGCCTGGATAGATACCAACTCACCTACCTATTCCTGCAGCCTAACAGCATTGCTTACACTATTGTGTCCATCGGGTATAGAGCTAATATAGTTTACAGGCTGCGAGACAATTGATTTTAGTATTCAGAGGTGACGACGCATTTGTTTATTTATTTATTTGCAGTATTCCATGGACCACAACTCTCCACTTACCATCAGGTTGTAAAAATTGTTTTCTATTATTCTGTTTGAGTCTTTCGGCTAAGAAAATGTTTAGAAATATTTCATGGCTTTCTACTGAAATGCGGTGAATTTGGTGTTGAGATAGCCGATTCGTGCCAGTTTAATTGAAGTTAATGTATTTTTTTTACAGAATAAGGGTGATAAACGAGCACACAGTCCACCCGATGGTAAATGGATGCTGTGACTCATAGAAATCTACATTTATCCTCGATTAAGAATTAAAATGCGGATGCGTTGTCACCCCTGAGGACTAAGATGGAATGCCTCGTTTCCAGTAAAAATGCTATCTGGTTCTCTATACTCACCTTACAAAACACAGCAGCCTTAAGCTGCTATTTTACGTTGGTATTCTATGAAAGCGTGGTCTTAGCCCGGTCGAGCCGACCTATTCGTGCCACAACTAATATAGCTGCAGCGTGGTTCTACCACGTATAAATCTTGATTAAGTTCTCCCTCCTCTTTTCATCAGACAACCAAGCAGTAGGTGGGTATTCACCACTCTGTAGCCAAAATAATTTGCCGGCGTCTGTCCTTCCGCCTTTAGAATTTGAGTGTCTTTAAGGCAAGAGTGAATAGGCTTTTCTTACGTTAAGACAAAGCAATTTACAGTCTAGGCCCCAGACTGTAAATTGCTTTTGCGTTAAGCTCTAGACTCTAGGGCTTAACCACCACATACCACCAGATGGAATTGTAGTCGGATACTGACTTATAATAAGTAAAAAATAATAATGCGATAACAAACCTGAATCCCTGGCGCCATTAGGGTCTGTCCAGTCCACTTTGATAAAGGTAGTCAATGACACTACATACACCTTGTTGGAATCGGCGTTTGAAGCAATCGAACGGCGTTTTCGACCATAACCAATCGCTCCGTTGCTGCATTGGACCTAAACAGAAGGTGTTATATTACATTTTGTGGAATTTTCAGGCTTTGAAAAACGAAATAATTGTTAAGCTTCATTGTGCTGAAAGTAAAAAATATTAAGTTTTGCAATTCGTATTACGCTGTTGGAACCTAGTCACTACAGTATAGCAGGGCCTTATAGATTGATCATGTTATGAGTAAGAGTTAGGTATAGGATATAGGAAGTATAGGATTGTCGCAGAAAAACTTAAATTTTTAAACAAACTAATTGACGCACGAGGCATTGCTTACGTGAAATTGGATATAGATATATTTTTTAAAAATAAAAAAATCTGTATCCCTAAAATGAAAGATTAGATTTTTTAAGCAATTTAAATTAGCTTATTTTTCTATACTACCTACGATTTTTTAAAATTTACGTTCACCCCTTAAACTTAAAACCTCCCTAACTTGGTTAATTTTGACCGGAGGAAAAAATCATAAGAGATTTTTATGTAAAATTTTAAGCTTACATTTACATTAGATTTTTTGTCTAATTTTTTACCGTTTCCGAATAATTGCGAAAAACACTTTAGATAATTTTTTCAACCCTTTCCGGGAGTCCCAGACACGAAAACTTTTATACAATGTATGTTTATGCAACTTGAATATAAAATTTCAAGTTGCAAAACATCTGAAATCTATTCGAGTGTAGTTAATATTTATAACTTAAAAAAAAAACCAAAACTAAAAACTAAAATTATCATCCAGTCCTGCTCCGTGTGGTATAGTGCCAAGAATACTGCCTGCGTTTCCTCGTGAACGACTATACTTAGACTTTGAGCGAGAGAAGGAGCTCCCTTATCACCAGCTGCGACGACCTATAGCAGGTACAGTTACTTTGGGAAGTACATCGCAAATGAATACCACACGGAACAATTGTCGCTACAGCAAATAACACAAATACTCGTATGTAGTCATCCTCAGAGACTACTTGTGTATTATAATGTTATTAGCGTTCCGCAGCGGCTTGGCACAGTTGATTTCTGGATCTCGACAACAGAGCCACCTACCGGGCCCAATTGTGAATCTAAACCATTCACTAATCAACTTAATCACACACACACACACACACGCACGCACGCACGCACGCACGCACGCACGCACGCACGCACGCACGCACGCACGCACGCACGCACGCACGCACGCACGCACGCACGCACGCACGCACGCACGCACGCACGCACGCACGCACGCACGCACGCACGCACGCACGCACGCACACACACACACACACACACACACACACACACACACACACACACACACACACACACAAAATTTCACCAAAGTCGGTCCAACCGTTTCGGAGGATTTCATTCACATACACATTAACAGAAGAATTATATATAAAGATAAAGACTAGCTGTTCCCCGCGACTTCGTGCACGTGTAATTTAGGGTTTTTATTATTCTGCGCGAAACCCTAATTCTTTTTCTCAAATATAAGTAGCCTAAGTTACTCCTTATAACATCAGCTATTTACCAGTGAAAGTCCCGTCGTAATCGGTCCAGCCGTTTCGGAGATTAGCCAGAACAAACAGACAGACAGACCGACAGACAGACAGACAAAAATTTAAAATCGTGTTTTTGTGATAAGTACCGTATATATATACATTCATATGCATTTAGTAAAAAGCTGTTATTTTAACATTACAAACAGACACTTCAATTTTATTTATTTGTATAGATGTAAAAGATAATATTTACCGTTTCATTTTTATTGTCAATTATTTTATGTTTTTTTTTTTTGCTTTGTGTCTATTTCATTGTCATATTATAGGCACCATGAGAATAACTGCATTTTATCTTATAAATCTTATTAATATATAGAACTATTTACCCCTTGGCACTTGTCAAGGCAAACGGTAACTGTTCCTCTGAATTGCACGTAGCTGGTATCCGGGAACTTGAAAGCTTTGAACTTTGCAGCGAGCACGTCCCCGTCCGTCGTCACGAAGTTGTCGAATAGATATGGGTCCACAGAGCAACTGCAAATATTGTTTTTATTTATTTTTTTATAAAAAACAGCTAAATTACTTTAAACAATGCACAGAAAACACTTATTACTAAGGCCATTTTTTTAAATAGAATTTATTACTTCTGCTGGTGGATGCTAGATATAAATTTATATATATATTATTGGCAATCCGTTACATAAAAAAATATGATTGAGTATTACGAACAAGGAGGAAACGGCCAGACATGTCATGGCATATGGTAGAATAAAGCTAGTGGCATTATAGATAGTCCATTCCACATTTGTTGTCTTTTATTAAAGCTTTCGTTATGTATTCTGAACGAGTAATATATTCTTATAATGTTTTAGTTGTTCTGTTAGAAATCGTGTAGCTTCTGAAAGACTTGACCAATTTGGTCATATTACCATTATATCGAGTATTTGTTTTGTCGAGACGATAGTTCTTATTTTTATTACAAATTTCTGACAGATTATTACATATTTTTAATTTGTCTTTGTCTTCAAAAAACTATTTTACTTACCCGTTGAAGACTATGGTCTCTTGCTGTTTGCCGGTATCGGTGACGTGCATATAGCTGACGAGTAGACCGTATACTGGCGCTGAGGCGTTGTCCAGAAATATTTCCATCGAAAGCGGTGTGCCCGGGCTAACGGATATCTCACCTGACACCCTGCGTGGAAATTATATATATTTTTAATGAATATAACAAAAGTAATTATATTAATAATATATCCACTGCGTGATAGAACTCGTAATGAAAAAATCCGCTAGAACTGTAAAACCGATGTAGTAAGCTGAAGTGGTAAAATGCCGGCCATGTAACATAATAAAAATCAACGGGGAAGATAGGTTCTCGTGTAGCAGCCTCTTCCCGGTAAACAGGAACGGTTTTTATACGTACTTATTTTCAGATTTTGTCTTATCTTTTCCGTTTTTTTATAACTATTGTTGCGCGCCACTATTAATGTCTTGTACATGGCAACACTAGTTACACTAGCGCCCTCTAGTGTCGAGTAGCAGAACTAGGAGAGTCGAGATCCTTCCAGAAATTTCGGGATCGATATGTACTCGAACATTCTAGATGTTGCTACAGTAGCAGATTCTGGAAACTATCTGAGGCCCTATATAAGGCCGGTATAGACCACGACCGAGGCAGTATTGAATTGGCGATACAAGAGAATACTTCGAAGCGAAATAACGGCGAACTGTGTTTTATTATTAGTGTGATTTTAGATTGTAATTATTGTTGTGTAATTAAAGTGTCAAATTTGGTAATTCAATCGGCAGTTTTTAATTGTCCCGAACCCCACGCTCGTAACACTATAATTTTAAAGATGCAACGGTAATTTCGACGGCAGGGTTGAAAAAAGATAAGTGAAGTTTTCATGATAAGTGCAAGTGCATTCAAAAAAGTCGTCTCTTTAACACCTTTGAGACGTAATAGGGCGAAATATTTTTTTTACACTGCTGCCACACTGTGAACTGCCGTTTTTTGCCGAATTTTAAAGAATACAATTTCAGAATAGCCGATTAAAAAAAAATCATGTTCCAATGATTTTGTACACAAATCTCTTTTAATTTATAGTATAAACTTACTGTTTTCCGTTTTGCTTCACAACGGCACCCAAAACTGGTTCAGGAGCGCGTCCTTCTTCGTATCTTGTGATGTTCAGAACACTACAAACAAAAATTGTGTATTAAAAAGGAGATAAACTAACTTCGAATATCATCAAATTGGGATAAAATTTATATGAGACCCCAGTGAAAGTTATTCTTTTTCAATTAATTCATAAATCATTCAGGGACAATCTGGGATTACAACTCAAACTCCAAAAATGTCAAAATTTGAATCTAGTATATTATAGTAACACTAGAGACTGTTCCTGTATAACCGGCTTAAGTGTTATCTGCATTAAATAACAAACAGCTGAATTGCAAAACATTCTATTTTAAAGTCAATTAAAATATTGTTCAAGTTTTGCATATTTTTTTTCGAATTAGGTAACTATAAATTATTCTAGATAGTATATACCTAAAAACCATTTAAAATGGTATTTCAAACTGAATTGAAATGGTTTTTAAACCATGGCGTGGGTTCTAAAAAGGACATAGTGACTAAAAAGCAAACCAAATGTAGAGATTTAAATGAAGTCATAGCTCCATCTTATTCCTCACGGGTGACAACGCATCTGCATCTTGAGTCTTTATTGAGGATAGATGTAGATGTCTATGGGTCACAGTAACCACTTACCATCAGGTGGACTGTGTGCTCGTTTGTCACCCAATCCTATAAAAAAAATGTAAGACAACTTATAAATGTTTTGTTTAATGTTTCAGTTTACACAAGTTCTCTGCTAGACACATCATTACTGAGATAGATTTTGGAGCAGGAATATTCCACGGTACTACTTCAGCGAGTTTTGACGGACTCTACTATTCTTTGAAATATATTTAATTTCTCAGATAAGCAGGTTTCGTCCAAGAAATACATACAACGATTCTTCACTACCTAGCGCGTGATTAAATCTACTAAAATTGCTATTGACGATTTCATTAGTGCCACAGGGGATCAAATAATTTTTTGCTCACATACTATGATGTTTGATGACCACTATCACGGTTCGCGATTTTATATGATAAATCTTGTAAACGACATTGTTGACAATCTTTTTCTCTGCTGGGATTTGTCACAATCACTAAGCAATCACTGCTCCAGGCATTATCGACACAGGCAGATTATCGACGCTACTTTACGTTAATCCACTTTTATTACAATAATCCTGGATACATAGTACAAGAATAAAACTTCCGTTGCTACAGAGAACACCAGCGTAAAAAACAGCATAGTACTGCTGTGTTTCGTATGGTTAATGACGAGTACCGGAGACCCTTTGCACTAGTAACGAGGCATTCCATTTTAGGAGCGACATCAGATCAGCTTTTCGATATTAATCGAGGATGAATTGTGTCCATGTCCTTCAACATCCATTTATCATCAGTCAGTCTAGTGTGTGCTCGTTTATCATTTCTTTGGTAATACACCCGTACGCTTGTACTTTTCATAGTGTCAATTAATAGGAATTTATCCCATAAAGTAATTTGTTCTAAACATCCCCGTAATATGTTTTTCGGGAGAGTTTAAAGACAGCTGAAGCCAGTAGACTGTCGACAACAAAAGTAGATATCTCATGTTTTTAAGACGCCTAAGCGGACAAAATAACTTAATTGTGTTTTATTTTTACTTTCTTTCTTTATTGAACCCGCAGCCCTCAGCGCCAAAACTCATTACTAAAACTGCGCCACAGAGCCGTCAAAGCACACATTTATTTATTAACATCGCATCAATTATTTCGTTACTTCCGTATTCGTAACACTTTTAAGTATTAAAATCTTCTTCAAACTATTATTAACCCTATAAAACAAGAGCAACAATTCGTATGCGGTCAAGTTCCCGCCAGAACTCCTACTTTTACCTACTTTTATAAAAACAAAAACATATAGTTCCAAGCCGATTACTAAAAAGTCCCGATTATATTGATTATGGTTGTGTTATGTTTCCGGATCTATGATATTTTATAAAAACTTAGTTCAGGGGCTCAGCGTTCGCTGTAAATCTCACAGTACGCAAGCAACCTGGGTTCATTCCCCGCCGGCACCAATCAAATTTTTAATTGCATTTCTAAGTGCTGTTTTACCACGTGCTGGGCGGTGAACGAAAACATCGTGAGTAGGACTGAGATATAAAAAAAAATATTTCGCTGGCATGTGAAGTCCGCCAACACGCATTGGGGCAGCGCGGTGGACACTTACCTCTTAGAAATCCCGAGAAGAACAAAACTCTCTTAGGAATGAGACGAGGCCTGTGCTCAGCAGTGGGACTATAGGCTGTAACTTTACCTTACTTTACCTTACCATATTAAATATTGAGTTCCATCAGCCGATAGCAAAATAATTCTAAAGGATTCTTGTTTCTCTTTTTTTGTTTCGGCCGAAAGATGATCAAAAATTGTAGAAATAATTCCAAAAAAATCACAATTAACTGTTAAAATTTATAAAATAAATCTGGGAAATGATATAAACATTTCTCACTCTGGTTCATTGAAGTCCAAGGGGAAAGGTTCATCAACCGCTCTTCTCGCTACGAGATGTGGTTTGCCTGTCGCCATACACCTGACAGTTACTGTCTCACGGCCGCCGTCCGCCAACTCTATCACAATTTTGTGGTAGAATGTACGTTTACCCTGGAAATCAAAAAAACAAATATATTTAAGGACGATAACCAACAAAATAACCGCCAAATTTCATGAACGCACATCCCGGCAAAACCATAAGGTGATCCGTATGCTCGTTTACTTTCTCTCCTATAAAAAAAAATAAGGGTCCGAAATTATCACTATTAGCCTTAGGTCTCGCTACTAGTGTACGTTTACGATATAAATTTTATTTTATTTATTTTATAAAACGGAAGTAACAAGCTGGTAACAGTCCACCTGACCAGTAGGTAACTGCAGCCTAAGGACACCTGCAACCAACTTTAAACAAATAAGGTTACAGTTGCGTTGTCTGAGGACTAAGATGGAAGGAGTGCCTCACAGCCCGTAACTACCTCTCTATACCCTTAACACCGGAACACGGCAGTGCTAGCAGTGCTATTCGGTGGCAGAAACAAGTAAGAGGGTGGTAGTCAATCAAACGTAATTGGACGTGGTTATGCAAAAAGGATCCAACCCGAGTTTGTGTCAAAAATGTTGACTTGAAAAATAATGTTTGTGGTCTATAGTATTATGTGATGTAACAATTTTAGCAAACGCAACACAAATAAGAAGAAAAATTACAAACAGACAGAAACCATACCGATAATTTGAGTTTATGATATTTGAAGTATGGATAATTCAAATATCATAAACTTAAATTAACTTATCGCGGGTTGGATCTTTTTTGCATAATTACGTCCAATTATAGTCAAAAAAGGATTACCTACCATCTAAAAATATAATCTTAGCTTAGTCACAATAGCTAAATTTAGCAGGCGATCACAGTGCCAACAGTTTTTAGATCAGACGTTGCACTCCATTACATTATATTTTTTAATAGGATAGGGTGACAAACGAGCATACAATCCACCTGATGGTAAGCGGCTGCTGTGACCCATAGACATCTACATTTATCCTCAATAAAGAATCAAAATGCAGATGCGTCGTCACCCGTGATTAACAAGATGGAATGCCTCTTTACCATTAAAATGAGTCTCCGGTTCTCTACACTCACCATACGAAACACAGCAGTGTCAAGCTGCCATTTTACGCTGGTATTCTGTGAGAGCGTGGTCCTTCCCCGGTCGAGCCGACCCATTCGTGCTACGACTATACTACTAATATAGCTGCAGCATAAGATAGGGTTAGGGGATTCTTTTCTCCCCTAGAGTTACTATGGTATCATTCTTGACAATAGAAAGACTTAGAAATACTTCTGTGTTGGTTAAGAGAGCACGTGTAAGTACAGTCCATGGGGTTGCAGTATCCACTTGCCATCAGGTGGGCTGTTAGCTCGATCATTCCTCTAATATTATAAAATAAGAACATAAGAGGTAATAGAAAAAATAATACCGAATAAACAATTTAGACACGTTATATTGTATGCATGTAACTGTAGGTCTTACCGTAATTTGATTAATTACTCTGGTCACGCCGCATTTATGGTGGTCTTGCAGGTCTAGCATGAAGGTCGCTGCATTGTTTTCCAAGTTGGGCAGGCAAGGTTTGTAATCTGAAGAAAGTACACATTAGTAAGACATTAACGAAATGAAATAAATGTGAAGAAATGAAATGAAAACTCTTTTTTTTTTCGACGTAAGAAAGTAAAATTTCGTTTGTCAAACGTTAACAATTTTGTAATATGCCTCCGTTTTAAAATGAGGTTGATTTATCAGGAGAAGAATCTGCAAAAGAAACTCCGCAGGGATCCTATTCTTTTGTGGTTTTTTAAAGCCAAAAAATCATATCGAGTCTATAAAATCGATCACTGGAGACCGAAATGTAGTAGGTCTATATTGCTTAAAGACTGGGTTTATACCCAGTCTTTAAGCGAACGTGTGCAGCGAAAAAATGCAACCATTGTTTTTGAGACCGTGAGAAGGAATACACGATGCTTCTAGATTTTAAAAATAGATGCAAATGCCCACGGTCGTATAAAAATTATCAATACATAGTCATTATTTATAGTATAAAATAACTTTTTTTAATGCGTTATTCCCACATTAATATTTAAGATTAGAATTTCTCCTGTATCGTCAAGTGCCTTATTCACTTCGTTACCGAAATTATCTAATCCTAGATGTATTTCGTTCGTTCTAAGATAATTCGAGGTATACTAAAACAGCCTAATAATAAATAATTGAAAAATAAGCATAATAATGCTTAAACATAATGAATAAATTCAATTTTTATCTTTCTTAAGATAAAAACTTTATATTTGATTTATAGATGGACTCAAAGGTGGATTTTGCCATAGTTGCCACGCTTGGCAGGCGAGTTGACAACCACATTTTATTTTTATTATTTTCAGTTGTTGTCATCTCTTCTGTCGTCTCTATCCCCTCTCACGACACCGACGGGATGATATGGCGTGGTGGATTCTCTCACGCTGCCGCTATACGACGATAAAATATGTATCTTTATATATAAAATTCTGCTGTCCTTGTGTATGTGACTGAACTCCTCCTAAACGGCTGGATTGATTTTGATGAAATTTCGTGTGTGTAATTAAATTAATATCAGAATGTTTTAGATTCACTATTGGACTTGGTAGGTGACACTGTTGTCGAGATAAAGGTAATTACCCGGGCGAAGCTGGGCGGATCACTATTATCCATATCTAATATATAGATTTCTATTTATCTATAATTAAAATTAGTTTATGACGGTTGGCAAGATTTTACAAAACTTTTTAATTTGTTACTTTAAATTTTGTGTACCTAACACATAAGTAATTTTCAGCGTAACTTTCACATAAATACTGGTAGTTAGATTTCAAAGAAAATTAAATCCTATATGCTCACAATATAAGTAAATTTGCATTAAAGCTATTTAATTTAAACCTGGTTATTATTGTTTTATGATGTTTTCATACGCCCATAAATTTAGCGAGGCTATTCCCACGACATGGCGGCCGTAGCACGATTTCTATTTCGATTCAAAACATTTATGTGATATGTATATGCGCACGCTCGGTCCCATTGATACGTCAATACGGAATACACATGAACGAAAGATTTATAACGCGTCCCCACCGTGGTATTATTGGCTCAATAGATTTATACCTTTCGTAGTGCAACTGTGCGGCAATAAATTAATATATCAACTTTGCTTACAGCTATAAACTAAAGCAATTGGCAGTGAATGGCAAACGAAAACGTATATATAAGTAAATAATTTGTATTGCTGTAGATTTATTGCGCAGATATTTTTACGTCGTATGCATTTTGATCGTTTGATGAGGGCATTAGGATCGTTTGTAGATTTTTCTACCGACTTCAAAAAGGATACGGTACTGAATTCGACTGTATGTTTTTTTATGTGTGTTACCTCTTTATTTGAAAGGTGGTACTTTACACGTGGTCCCATATAAATTTGATCAAGGTCTGACCAGTAGTTTTTGAGTTATTCATAATAATTTATATTGAAGTCGGTTGTACAAAATCTTTAATTTTAAATTATATTACAAGTAAAGGTGACAAACGAGCACACAGTCCACCTCGTGCTAAGTAGATGCTGTAACTAATAGACACCTACATTTATTCCCGATTGAGAATCAAAATGCAAAGACGTGACAAGAATCACCAAACAACACTACTGATGTATTATGCTGCTAATTTATGCTGGTATTCTTTCTCAGGTATTAAGTGTTCGCCCTGTAGCGGCAGCTTAAGAAAATCCACTACCCTATATCATCTCTATCATATATAGTCTGTTTGCTAAGATAGTGTCGGTACACCTGGAGGCGCATTTATTATTTTACATTTATTTTATTATTTTTTACTGTGTTTGTTAAATAAATGTTTTTCCATTCTAAGAATAAAATAGAATACTATGTTATTCTTACGGTTATGTTAATAAAATACGAATATAAATAATTAAAACAAGTAAGGTTGCAAAGAACCTTTCAATATATCGCTTCGTTTTAAAATGCCAAATTCTTCTCCGGATGTACGCCGCACGCGGCTACCTTTGATGTCGCGGCGGCGCTTTTGACAAAATGCGGCACGTGGCCAGGTGGCACGACACAAAGGCGACCGTATCTAAGCGAACAGACTATATCATGGGCAGCACCTATGGAAGTATCTCATACGCCACTAACATTTTATGATATAAGTTGTAATGTTATACACACAGTGTACACAGAGGTAATCCTGAAAAATACAGTGTTAGACATCCTGGGACAATAATTACACTATCAGCAGCAGCAGGAATCGTTTGCGGATGGAAACCACTCTGTAACGTTGTTATGTTTTTTCATTATGATATTATTTTGTAGCCTAAAATAAAAAAAAAAAAAAAAAAAAATTTAGGGCCCTTAGCCCGGCTAGTTACTCTGACCATATGGCGATAGTGTCGGATAGTGAACTAATCGAAAAAGGGTTGTCGCCGAGGTCACAAGACCTACTACATTAGCTTTATAATTTTGCTCTTTTTATTTAATTAAATCAAACCATTCTTTTTGTAACGACAATAAACACAAAAACTTGTATTTGCCCGTGAGAAAGGGAAAGTCAGCGAAACAATTCTCACACTCGATTTTATTACTTCTCTGTTTACTGACACGGTATTGTAACAGCTTGGTGCATGTATTGTGCTTGTGTGAAATTAGCGTCTAATTAATTTACAATAAACATACATTTACGGTTTTCTGAAAAAAAAAAAGTGGTAAAGGAAAAACACGAATTGAGGAATAGGATAGGGAACAGGACTTCTTTTCTACCAAAGAGGCCGTATAGGTTGGTATCCATTTCTAGTATCTTATTACCTACTCCTGCCGCCAAGCAACGTCGTTTTGATCTGAAAGGACCAAAACGATACTGAGAGCCAGTATATTTACAGACTGTGAGGCATTACATCTTCGTGTTCAGATACGACAACGCTTCAATTCCAAACAAATTAAAGCGGTCTAATTTGTTTGAAATTGGTTGTAGGTGTCTGGGTTGGGCTAATGTATTCACATATACATACACTTAGATGGAATGTTTGGTCACTTGTCACTTCAATTTTAATGAATTAGTAATCCGGCTTTGCACGGGTGATTTCTGGATCTCTACAACAGCGCCACCTACTGGGTCCAACTAGGAATCTAAACAATTTTTGAATCACCTTAATCACACACACAAAATTTCATCAAAATCGGTAAAGCCGTTTTCGAGGAGTTCAGTCATATACACACGCATAGAAGAATTATATAAATATATGTATTACTGTTGGTTTTTATCATTAATGTATTTTGCTTTTGCATAAATTCATTCATTGTTAAAAGCATTCTTGTGAAGAAGGATATTATAAATTATATAATTCTACTTAAAAGATAAGAATGCGTGGACATAATGAGCGTCCTTAAACTTTTTTTACTTATGTATATTACACTTTACTGTGACTGTAAAGCCTGTGTGCGGGTAGGGCATGACCAGTCACCCATGTTTAGCGTCCAAACGGGCGTAAAACAGGATTGTGTCATGTCTTCCTGGCTGTTCATACTGTATTTCGACAGCTGTTTACAGAAGCTGAAAGATCACGTTTGGGTGTGAAATTGGGTGACATTAAAGTAAATTGTCTGCTGTATGCTGATGATGCAGTGCTTACTGCACCATCAGAGGCAGAACTGCAGGCATTAGTCACGTGTATGAAAGAGAAATGTGAAATTAAAGGTCTCCGTCTGAATGCTAATAAAACTAAGGTTCTGGTATTTGAAAGGGACGAAGAGAGAACGAAGTGTGAAATATGGGTAAATCAGGAATGTCTAGAACAGGTAAATGAAATTGTATACTTGGGGATTGCTTTCAGCCGGGATGGAGGATGTGATTTAGATGTGGACAGGCGTGTCGCTGCCGGGAACAAAGTCAATGGTGCCCTGACTGCGTTAGTCAAAAGGCAAGGCGTAGTGAAGAGACTTTGTTATATGGCAGCGAAACCTGGGTATGCCAGAAGCATAAAAGTAAGTTGAATGCAGTGGAGATGCGATCTCTTCGTAAAATGTGCGGAGATACCATGGCCGACCGAAAGCGAAACGAAGAGATTCGCAATATGGCAGGTTTGAAAGATGACCTTATCACAAAAATTGATAAGGGCATGTTTCGATGGTTTGGGCATGTTGAGCGAATGAGTGAAGACCGAATGGTGAAGAAAATATATAGCGCGAAAGTAAATATTAAAAGGTGTCGAGGTAGACCGAGACTAACTTTCGAAGACCATGAAAGCAAATTGATCGAAGAGGGGAGGGTCAAGAGTACTCGGATACCTAGACGTGCATGTATGAAGAAGATAATGAATTTGTAAGAAGCGAAAGAGGTATGTAAGGATCGTGACACTTGGCGATCTGTTCTCTCTGGCTACCCCGTCAGGGATTGTGCGTGAAGATAAGTAAGTAAGTAAGTAAGTATGTATATTTTATAAGGTTAAATTTTAAATGTTGGGAGAAAAATGGCTTTGATTATGTTCTATCATGAATCCATTGCGGAATTTATCGGCTCCACATACTCCCATTATAAGATTGCCGAATGAGTTTAACTTTCATCTCTAACGCAATGGTAATCGGATCAACGGATTACTTTTTAAAATGTTTTTTTTTTTGTGTTTCGTGCTAAATTCAGCAAAAGGGAATACTTATAAAATTATTTCGGTATCAACTTGTCTGTCACAGATGTTTTCTCAACTAACAGTTTCTAGTAATAATTTTCTCTTTCACTTAATTATTTAAATATCGTCTGTCAGTTTCTGTGCCCGTCACAGTGGGTTTGACTTATAGACTAAAAAAAAACTACAATAACCTATTTAATAATAAATACCTACTAAACAGGCAAAATTTTCGTTCTAAATCGAGGTTCTCATAGACGGACATTATGGGTCAGAGAATTTTTTGCATGTTTATCACATTTAAGTTTTAATAAAAAAAAACAATACATTATATTTTACAACAATACATTCAGTACACTTTTGTAAGCTCAATACAAATTTTAAATTCTAAACAATGTATAATAATTCTCACGAACTCTACAACAACATATACAAATCTTGCAAGAATATGTGCCAAAGACAAACGTCGAGTGTAAATTGTTAACAGAAATACGTTTTCCGTTTAAAGCGAGGCTGATCTAAGCAAAGTCAATAATTACCTTTGAGGTTGTCGAGATAGGAGATCTTTCTGTCGCCGTCCATAGGCACCGTCACAGCCATTACCTCTGGTGTACATTGAATGCGCGAATCAGAACCTGTGGACAATAAATAAACTTATTTGAAATGTAAAATTTAATTTTAATAAAACAATCAAAACTAGGGATAAACAGAAATCATTTACATATTTATACGTGGTAGAGCTACGCCGCAGCTATATTATGGTTGTAGCACGATTGGGTCGGCTCGACCGGGGAAGGACCACGCTCTCACAGAATACCAGCGTAAAATAACAGCTTATGGCTGCTATGTTTCGTATGGTGAGTGTGGAGAACCGATTTGACCGATGTAGAAGCCATTTTCACTGGTAACGTGGCATTCCATCTTAGTCCTCACGGGTGATAACGCATCTGCATTTTGATTCTTGATCGAAGATAAATGTAGATTTTTGTGGGCCACAGCATCCCCTTACCATTAGGTGGACTGTGATTCGTTTGTCTACCCTTATTATATTAGAATAAATATTGGTGAGAGATTCAGGCACTCGATGGATGCAAGTGGCTCTAGACAGTGCTCCTTGGGGGAAGCCTATTCAGCAGTGAACTTGTGGAGGATATAATGGTAATGATATACATATACCTATCCTTGTTTATAATAATTCTCAGTCTACTTGTGTTCATTATTAGACATTGGCCAACGTTAGGATAGTTAAGAATTTTCTTTTTATCATGTAGCTTGAACTCGATTATTTTAATTTTGTCTAATAATTATTCGAGAAGCATGCATTTTGCATTCATCAATTTTTAATCGAACTGTTGGTTGTGTAAATATCCGTATATTCTTAACTCGAATAATCAAAAAATCACATCGATTACTTTTTCATTAATTAGTCGAACAACCGATAGCTCAATGCTTACTACTCGTATGTAGGTATTGGGAGGCGCATACGCTCGACTGACCAGTCAATCCACAACTATTTAGTTCTACAATAGCTCTGTTAAAATGACGTACTTTCTTTTTTTGTTTATTATGTATTATATGAAGCAAAGCACTAGTCCATACTGTATTATTTATTATGGAAGTTTATGGAAGTATTAAGAAGTAGAAAAAATTTAGTAAATCGATAACGACTGGATCGACTATATGCGCATCACCAACGACCAAATAGTTTAATCGGCATCAAATCATATGAAGCCCACAACTCGAATAAACGGTTTGATCGATTTCACAATAGTATGTATGTGATAGGTCTTATGTCTTGTACTGTGATCGTCAATCCACCAGCAAACTTTTATGTCAAAGCCTTTCTATAACGGAGGGACCTATGTCCAGTAGAGGACTTTTACGGACTGTTGAAGAAGAAAAAAAAACTTAGTACTTTACTAAAATTCATTATATTAAAGCTCCACTATTTAGAGTGGGTAGCCGATGTTTTCTTTAAAAATCTCGACAAATCCGTATAAACTTACACTGTTTTATGAGAAATTTGGCATACGCATTTGCAAACCTGCTTAGCCAGTTCTGTCTGGCGACCTCTGCAGCATCGCCGTCTTGAATTACATCATTTAAACCATTATGTAGTCATGACACATAGTTTAAATTTCAAGGTTTGTCTTCAACTTGGTAACGTCGAGAAATGTTTAATATATTGGTAAAGGGAAACATTTCTATTGTTTAAGAATTTAATTTTTAAAGCATATTATTTTATAGTATTGAATAAAATAAATTTTACGGATTTTATCGAGTTTAATTTAAATTATTTTTAACAAATTAAATTAAAACATATACTTCTGAAATAAAATAATAGGTATACATTACGGTATCGTTTTGTAAAACACAATATTCCTTTAATTAGTTTATTATCTATACAAATAAATAAAATTGAAGTGTCTGTTTGTAATGTCAAAACAACAGCTTTTTACATAATGCATATGAAAGTATATACGGAACTTATAACAAAACAAAAATATTTTTCGGTCTGTCTGTTTGTTTGTTCCGTCTAATCTCCGAAACGGTTAGACCGATTTTGACGGGACTTTCACTGGCATATATAGCTGATGTTATATGGAGTAACTTAGGCTACTTTTATTTTAGAAAAGAATTAAAACCTAAATTAAATCTTAATAATTTCAAACTAAATCTTAATAAAAAAAAATCAAATGAAACGTGCTAAAACCCGTAAATCCGTTTTATTCAATGTTGTAAAAAAACTATTTGTATATAAATAAAAATATTATTAAATTTTACAATATTTATAACGCTATTGCGAATGATGTTCCTGTCATTTTAATAAAAACGCCTACAAGTGGTAAAATTAAAAATTTTGTAAAAAAAGAAACAAAAATAAGTAATATTCATTCTGAAATACTAGGAACAGACACAAGCTAGTAGTACCAGTTACTCGACTCCATCGAGTCAGTAATTCATTCTTGGGGCGCTTTTACAACAAAATCCCAGAAAATATACAGAATTCGACCTGCTCAAAGTTCAAAAACTTTACTAAACAAAGTTTGTATAAAAAGGGTTATTATAATATTAAAGAATTTATGAATGATAATAACCCCTGGGAATGAGGTGATCGCTGCCAAGCTATTTCTAATTTGTTTTGTGTGGTTAATACTCGTAGTGTAACATACATGATTGTAAGCTTGTTATTTAAAAATAAGTCTCGCTGGGTTTTTCGTTGGTTCTTCCAAGGACAGAGGTTTCTTTTTGGAACCAGTCGTAATTAAACAAAAGAGTAACTTTCAATAAGTATTATTTATAATCTATATTGAATAAAAAAGTTTCTGTTTCTGTTTCTGTACAACCAATTTCAATATAAATATAATTTATTGTTGATTTTTTTTAAAACCGCTCGACCGATTTCGGTAAAATTTAAATGGGACCACCTGGAAAGTATATATGTATATTATACCCATTGAATCAAAAATGAATTTTTCACATCGATTCAGGCGTGGTAGAGCCATGCTGCAGCTATATTATGGTTGTAGCACGAATGGGTCGGCTCGACCAGGGAAGGACCACGCTCTCACAGAATACCAGCGTAAAATAGCAGCTTAACGCTGCTGTGTTTCGTATGGTGAGTGTAGAGAACCGGAGACCCCTTTTTACTGGAAACGAGGCATTTCATCTTAGTCCTCACGGGTGACAACGCATCTACATATTGATTCGTAATCGAAGATAGATGTAGATGTCTATGGGCCACAGCAACCACTTACCATCAGGTGGACTGTGTGCTCGTTTGTCATCCTATCCTATAAAAAAAGACGTCTTCGATTAATCGGTGAACATACATAAGAAAAGATTCCGACGAATTGAGAACCTCCTCCTTTTTTGAAGTCAGTTACATATAATTAATATTTGGATTTCGGACACATATTGGATAGGTTACGAGTCAATGCCTCTTTGTAATATTTGTTGAACGGTTGAAATCTTTGATTTATTCGGAAATTGTCATTATCATTAAAATATCGACCATTTTATCACCCAACTGCGGCAAAGCCTAAAATAGAGTTATGATTTTAGTAAGCAATGTTAAAAATGTTATGCACTGAGGCTGATTAACATCATATGAAATTCAATTTTTTATATTTATAATAATAAAGTAATGAGTAGTAAAATATAAAAATATTATATTTACATACAATCTAACATAAGTGCATTCAGAATTCTCACAATATTATATGTTTAACTAAAGTATTACTTACATTAAAAACTATCTATAAAATTTATCTATTTAATTTTCCAAAATAAATGTACTTGATATGCATCTACCCCCAGCGATCCCTAACCATCATACCTAACCAATATACTTAATTTAAATAAAATAAGTTAAAAACATAGAACTTCTTATCGTAGTTGTGTTTTAGTTTTCAACTTTACACTTATTTTAAATGTCAAATAATACTAATAGCAGTGGGGTTTGGAAGCATGCGAACTACAGTAACGCAAAACATATTATACATATAGCATCTCTTTATGCACACCACCCACAAACATTTAAGTTGGAACGTTATAGTAATAATGTAAATAACTTGCTTGGAACCTTTACAGGATAATCGGCAATATTTCATATTAACTGTTGGCTTATAACCGATGAATTATTATAATCTCTTATATTTATAAGCTTCTACGATTCACATATTTTATATGATTCATATGATGTGAGTTTTACTATTAAATCGTTAAATGTTTACTATCAGTAACAAAATGTATTTTTGCTTGATTTATATGGTAAGCAAGTATTAGTGAATTCTTATAAAAAGTAATTTATTTTATAATCTATCCCACAAATGTTGTGATATTAAAAGAAATCAACAAGACAACAAAATATTGGAACCTGCCACGATTTCAAATCATACAGATTTGATACCAAAAAAATTTAGGCACAGAGTAAAATAAATAATAGTACGTGTAGGTCAATTGTTAATTTAAGATTTCTACAGTAAAGATTAAACAAAAACGCATGCATAAAACGTATAATTATATTTAAAAAAAAACATTTATAAAACCAAGGTTAACTAGAATGAAGGGGGAGGGGCCAAACAGGCAAAAGCAATTCCATAGAAATATCATTTATCTATATATATATTATTATTGAGTCCGATGAAGCTGTAGGAGCCGCATAGGCTAACAGCATTAACATCACATAATCTAGACTATATATTATTTGTTAAAATATTTTTATAATTATATTTAACTAAAAAAGACAAAAGCACAATGAAAATTAAAAAATCAAAGACCATTTTACCTTGGTAGTTACTAGGTATATATGACGTATTAATGAAAATTTCAAGTAAAAGCCTTCGCATTTTGTAGGAAGTTTCTGGTGCTGTAGATATAATAATCGAATTTCTAAATGAACCACTTGTTCGTTTGCTTCTCCCCGACATACACAATAACATTTTGTATTAATTATTCATTCTTATCATAAATTAGAGAGAGTAACAGTCAAATTTGACAAACTATAAAGCATATCAGGTGATCTTTTAATATATAATTTTATAACTAAAAATAAAAATATAATTATGTTAAAGTAAATTAATAGCGCAGAGTAGGTAGGTACATGACATTATGTCTCACAGCTGGGTACCGC